CAGATTTGTGAATTTTTCCTAAAAAAAAATGGTAGAGCTGCTAATGCTCTTTTCACCAGAGAATATCATTGAACTAGAAATAAATGTCCAAACAACTTTTTTTGCAGTACGCACTGGCCCAGAAAGCTGTCAACAGCCTCACTTCCATGTATGGCACTCGCTACACTTATGGCAGCATCATCGACACCATCTGTAAGTTTTTGCATCACAGCCAGAAGACATTGTTTTTTTTGTTTTTTTTTATCAAGTATAACTATATTTTTTTTTTGCAGATTTTAAAGTTTTTAATTTCAACACACAATAAAATATTTTACCGACAAATATTTGAAAAGTGCAGCAAGTAAAAAATATACCACATTAGTACGAAGTAAAAATTTTTTTTGTTTCATTAAAATAAAAAAAAAGAAACATACAAGTTTCTAACATAGAAACTAAAAAGAAATGCATTCCAAATATTGAACTTTGAAAAGGTTTTAGAAATAATTTATGATGTTCATGTTAAAGTTCAACCAATATTTTACTCTGTTTTTTCCGATTTTATTTTTTCTAGTTTATTTTATCAAAGATTTTTGGTCAGTTTGTCGTGATGGAGTGAGTTTTACAAATTGCACTAAACTCTTCTCAAATCCTGTTTTATAGATTTTAACCTCAGACCAAAAGAAAGAGGTGTACATAGGGAATGAAATCTGTAACGAAATTAATTTGTCTAATTCAGTATCCAAAAAAAAAAAAAAAAAAAAAAAAAAAATAGAATCTGGAAATAAATAAAAAACAAAAATTTGTTTAGCTCTTGCTTAAACATTTGAAATTACACTCAAAAAATGTTATGTTTTCAAATTTTCTTTTTTAAGAATGTTCTTTGCTTTTAAAAATATTGTAACAGATTTCTGTCCACACATAGTTTGTATCTTCATGGATTTAACAGTGATGAGAAGGTTTGTTTGTCTTTGTTTTGCTTAATCCATCCTTTTTTTATTTTTCATTCTAGATCAAGCCAGTGGTGGCACAGTTGACTGGACCTATAACCAGGGCATCAAGTACTCCTACACCTATGAGCTGAGGGACACTGGTTACTACGGGTTCCTCCTGCCACCCAATCAGATCATGCCCACAGCTCAGGAGACTTGGAGTTCTCTGATGGTCCTCATGGATCATGCTTACAAGAACCCATATTAATGCAATTGTTTGTTTGTTGACAGAAGGAATTTCAACTGTGAGGACGTTTTAATCTTTGAGACGAAAACAGAATAAAGTAAAATTAATTATAAAAATATAAAATGCACATTAAAAAAACTAAACAAAGATCTTTTCCTTTCCAATGCACTTTGAAAATTTTGAGATCTCATTACAGCATGGTTTGTTATCAAAACTTTACCTTCATAAGAAATCACAATGATTCCATCATTTTTAAGACCAGGATGTTCCGCAAAAATGCTTTTTAGAAATTTCAAAACAAAAGCAGGTTTTCCGTTGGATGACTTTCAACATGAAGAAGTGATTGAAAAAACATAACAGCAGGAAATTGATTTGAAGAAAATATTTTAAAATCCTCATTTTCTGATTCTAAAATTCTTTGAAAAACACAAGCAATAGGCTTTTTCGAAATTAATGTTTGATTCGGATATTATAATAGATATTTTCCAGCTATTTTCGATAGGAAACTGCCTTTACTCATATAAATAATACAAAAGAAATATGTTTTTAGGATTTCCTGAAACATACAGTGACAGTGCCATGAATTTGTTTTCTGCCTTTTAGAGTTAGATTTTTGTTAAGTAACATATATATGCTCAAAAAATAAAGGGAGTATGGGAAAAACAGAATACTATAACTAATTAAATGAAACGTATGCAAAAGCAAACTATCAAAAGTCATAAAGGGGCAACATGGGTTGTGTTCAAATCCTGCGGCTGCATCCTCGGAAGGCCAGATTCATAGGCCAAAAACCTCATAGCACGGCCACTGGTCTCTTGGGATTCAAAGACTCCTTCCTATGAGGCAAACAAATGCACCCTTCTTTTGCCCAGATAGGTTTCCTTATCCTCAGGAATAAAACAAGTACACAGAACAGTATTAAGTAGTTCGGCATCCGTTCTTTGCCTACTTTGTGTATCAACTACCATGGTTGCTAGGTGACAGAGCTTACGCTGAGTAAGGGGCGTTGAAAGCCAGAGACGGCTGGACCTGTTTGAACCTATTGCTGAGCTCTTCCAGCCTCCTTATTTTCATGGCCTCTGAAGGACCCATCTTACCAAGACTCGGTCCTTTGAAGGATGCAGCCGCTGAAATCGAACACTACATATGTCTTTCCTCAGGTTTGCCTTGTTAGCAGCTTCAGCCATTTCATTTCCATTAATTCCAGCATGAGCTGGGAGCCACAAAATAACCATATCTACCAAGTTTAAAAGGCGACTTTACTAATTACATCTGTTCTTGCCTTGCATCCCCCATCCTTTAAATTAATCAGTGCAGACAGAGAATCAGAACAATTGATCACATTCTGAATTCCTGTTTCCTCTACCCACCATTGTCCCCAGAGGATTGCAGTCAGCTCAGCTGTAAACATAGAAATGCCGTCAGATAAACACTGATATTGATGGAACCCAAATTGGAGAACATAAATACCAAAACAAACTCTTCTATTTACTGGATCTTCCGAACCATAAATACTAATCTGGGTGTAACCTCTCCATTCAGTTCAGAGGTGGACATTTGCATAAGTCCCCAGACATCCTTTAAAATCTAAAAACTAATTTATTTTAAAATCAATATCTAGCTCAGGCCACAACAAAGATATAATTACTGGCCAGATCACTGGGGGAACATCATCAATCATCAAAAAAATGTCAGAGATTAAGTTTCTGCACATAACCTTTCAACGAATGCAGAACACTTCTTCTATTGAGCATACTTTTGCCTTTTACCAATTCCCAACTATCTTCCACCACAGAAGGTAAAAAAAAGTGCTGCACCGGCCTCTTTAACTTTACTGTATTGTTTAGTCCAAGCTTTATTAGTTTCAAATTTGAATATCTCTCATGCACACAGTACAGCTTTGACAAATATAGCTAAATAGGAGCAAGATGTATTGAAGCAGAACACCAGTTTGGGAAAAGTGAAGTTTGACACCACTATTTTAAACATCCATCCCTCTCTATGATGTGGAGATGGAAGGAACTATCTCTGTTCAGGTTTTTTACTTTACTCCTAGTTTACGATTACCCAGCTCTTCTTTCCAGTCGTTAAATAATAAATCATATCACTCCAAACTTAAAACATTAAACAGAAGCCTAAAATGCATTTTGTGATGTGCTGAAATGGCTTCCACCTTAGCTTTGACACCAGTTGTAGCAAAATGTTTAGAGACTTTATTTTAAAATGGATATTTTTTATTACAAGATAAAAGATGATCTTTTGTTTTGTGTGTAAAGCTACTTCAAGTACTTTAACGACTAGTGAATAATAATGTATTGATAACAGTATTCCTTTTAACTAATTTTTTATGTGATGATTTGGGATGCATGGTGGAGTGGAGGTTCCCTTGCAGCAAGAAGATTCTGGGTTCAAAACATGGTCTGGGGTCTTTCTGCATGGAGTTTGTTGCATGTCTCCCCATGCTTGTTTGGGTTCTCTCGGGGTACTCCAGCTTCCTCCCACAGTAAAAAAGACATGACAGTCAGATTAATTTGCTTCCCTAAATTGTCCTCAGTTATTACTGTGTGCATGGTTCAGTGTCTTTGTGTGTCTCTGTGTTGCCCTTCGACAGACCGACGATCTGAACACCTACCGCGCCTCACACCCATAGACTGCCAAAGATAGTCATCCACCGTGACCCTGACAAGGACTAAAAGGGAGAAGATGGATGATTTGATGTAATGATTACTGGCAACCCGTGGCTCCAGAGCCACATGTGGCTCTTTAATGGCAGGTGGCTGTTGTAAACAATGTGCGCGTGAATCTTAGGCCATGGATCCCAAAGGGAAAAAAGGCAGATAGCTGAGGAGAACAAAAGATTCAAATAAGAATGGACTAAATAATTTGTTTCATTACCAATGTGGAAGGATTGCCTGCATGTTCGCTTTTTAATGAGAAGTTGTCGAAAAATAAAACTGGTAATTTGGAAAGGCACTTCCAGGGAAGGCCTGCTAAATATGTAGTCGACCACCAAGTTAAGAGTGAGAGAAAAAGTTTGATTGCAGACCTTCTAGATAAATTAGCAGATTGCAAAGATACGTTTAAGAAGTGGATTACATCTCCAAACTTCCCTGCTGCTGCTAGTTGTATTGCAAACATGGCAAACTGTCCACAGAGCAAACAGAGCAAACTCTTAGGACAGAAATAAAAGAGGTGGCACAGGTGACATAGAGAGCCTTTACATTTATCAGATACATCCACCGAATTTAGGAAAATCCCAGAGAGCCTAAAATTTGGAGAAATCATACCTTAAATGGGCTTAGGCTAAGACGAGCACAAGATGAAGCTAAATGTATTCTGTATAGCAGTAGAATCTTTATGTACAGATAACAACAAATTGTTGAATGTTGATATAAGACCTTTCTGCTGAGCATTATAGAGAGAATTTCATTCAAAGGGTTTTTGGGAGGTACAAAAGAGACATTTGGGAAACATTTAGAAAAACAAATTCTGAATTTATAAGTAGCCAAAAAAAAATAGAGAGCTGTTTTAAATGCATGCAAAGATGATGCTCATACTGTTTCATCAATAACCTAAGCTTTTAATTCAATCAGTTTTTTATGATACATATGATTGTCTTCTGTATGTGATCAAACAGAATATCTAAAAACAAAATCTGGAAAAGTTGATATTTTAAGACTTTATCTTATAGTACCGGTAATCTTATAATAATTTTCTTTATTAGTTAGAATTATCACATGCAGTGGCATATCAATGGTAATGGGCTTTATCATATTTTTTTAAAGAAAGTACAGAAGCACCTATAAGGAAGTGTTTATATAGCTGAATAAGGAAACAGCAAAACTTAGACTAGCTTCCTCTTTCTTGATAAACTTGGTGCAACATATGTTTGTCAAAAACATAAAGAACATGGTGTAACTCCAGCTGGTGAAACCCAGAGGTTCTCCTGAAAACCAACCTTTAAAGGGCCGTGTTTGGTCTAAGACTGAATTTTTTATTACTCCATCATGATGAAGAAGTTCAGTGTATTTGCAGCTCTGCTTGTTGCTGTTTTCAGCAAGGAAGTCTTTCATGGGTGAGTGAGCCGGCAGTTATCAATATATAGCAATGAAAGGGTCTTTATCAACATAATTACACAAAGTCAGACTAGATCTTATAACTGCATTAACTAACTTTGACCAAAGTGCAACAAAACAGATTATATTAAGCAAATGTTTGCTCTCTTATATATAAACTTACACAATGTTTTCTATCTATTGATTTATGGTAATATGAATATACTAAAAGAAAAAAGCAGATGAAAAGGCCTTTTAAAACCTTGCTGGAATTTTAAGCCTTCAAAAAGATGTAATGTATTGTGAAGAATAAATTAGGACACCCATAATTATTGTAACATAGGTTTGCAAAAATTACACATAGATATATCAAGTCAGGAGCACGTATTTATAACCTTGTAACAACATTCTATTAAAGGTTTTAACTGTTTATACATTCATTTTGGTGCACTCCTGATCGCTGAAGTGAGAATAAACACTGTGGTGAGATTAAAAAAAGGGGTTTCTTTGGCCTCAGAAAGACAACAATAGAGAGAGCAAAACAGTTTTAACAGAGGTGTGTAAAGTTCTCCAAAAAAGGCAAAAAATATCAAATTAGGAAATTGCTTTTGTAAAATTTAAGGTTACAAATAAGAAATGTAAATAAGTAAAGTTAAGAAAATTGATTACAGTATTTGAGATTATTATTATTATTATTTTGTTTTAGGTCCCTATACTTCACTTTGTTAAAATAAAATGGAGGTAGAATTTGTTGAACAGAACATGGGGTATTCAAACAGTACCATCCATACAAACCCAGAATAACAAAAAAGCCAAACGACACACAGCCAATAAAGTCCCATTTGTCTGAGAAAACTTAAAGTACCTTCTGTTAGAATTCAATGAAATGTTTCAACTCTGCCTATGAGCAAAAATAGATGGGTGTCTGAGAGAAAAAAAACAACTAAAGTTTTTTGTGTTATAGTAATTGACAAGCAAAATGAAATAGATTTCCCTATACTTTGATCAAAATAATGCAGAATGGTCTTGCAGGGTTTGCCAGCGTATAAAACATATTTTTTATATTGTATTATTATATTTATACATTGTGTAGGAGTGAAGATGATGACACAAAGCAGGCAGGTTAAACAGTTCTTTACTCTACTCCAACTGAGAGCAACTGTACAGAAACCCATATATATACACATCCGAACAAACATAACTGCAACCTCTCCACTGAGTGAGAGTGGAGCCCCCTAGTGGTCCGTCACATATGCCCCCCGAACACTCAGTAGGGTAGAAAAAAAAAAAAACCCTAATCCCGATCCTTGTGTTTCAACAAATGTCCAAAACGGCTGAACTTGGAACCTGTAGGATGATCCTGGGACATCCGTGCCTGAGGACGAGAGCGACACGGAGGGGCTGCAGGGGAATTGAGCTCTGAAAAATGAGGATCTCTGGAGGGAAAACAGCTGTCCATTAAAATAGTGGAGGGGGTCTTCCCCTGCGAGGAGCTTGGCCCATTACCAACTGATCATCCGCCAGGACATGAGCAGGTTTGAGCCTGTCAATACAGATTGTTTCCTTACGCCCTCCCAAATCCAAAAGAAAATGTTTAGGCCCTGGTTCAAGGACTCTGAAAGGGCCATCATACATATGTCGTAGGGGTGATCTGTGTGCATCGTGTCAAACAAAAACAAATTTAGAGGTCTCTAAGTTCTCATGAACAAAGGACTGGGGCAAACAATGGTGAACGGGGGTAGGAACACGAAAGGAGTCTCCCTGAGGGAAAAAACGTTGCCCAAGTGGACTGAACTGTGGCATAGGCGAATCAGGTAAAAATGCCCCAGGGACATGCAGGGGCTGACCGAAAACCAGTTCAGCTGTGGAAGTGCCAAGGTCCTCTTTAACGGCTGAACGCAAACCAAGCATGACCCATGGAAGGCGGTCAACCCAGTTGCCATCAGTCAAAGAAGCATGGAGCGCAGCTTTCAATGACCTGTGGAACCGCTCACACAACCCATTAGCCTGCGGATTGTATGCAGTGGTGCGGTGGATCTTGACCCCCAGACCATCGGCCATGACGGACCACAGCTCTGAAACGAACTTTGGGCCCCTGTCAGAGGTAATGTCAGAGGGAGGGCCAAAGCATGCAACCCAGGTGGACAGAAAATCCCGGGCCACCGCTGCTGACGTTGTGGATGACAGGGGTACCACTTCCGGCCACCGGGTAGTATGATTGATCATTGTCAGGAGATGTGTGAAACCCTGTGATGGAGGAAGGGGACCCACAAGGTCTACATGCACATGATCAAACCGCTTATTAGGGATGGGAAACGGTTCCAAGGGCGCTTTAGTGTGCCTTTGGATCTTAGCACGCTGGCACTGGACACAGGCTGCAGCCCATTCTCTAACTGTTTTGGGCAGTCCAGTCCAAACGAATTTAGAACTAACCAGTTTTACTGAGGCCCTAATGCCAGGATGTGAGAGGGAGTGTAAAGTGTCAAAAACCCGGCGGCACCACGAAACAGGAACCAGAGGGTGGGGACAGCCAGTAGAAACATCACAGATCAGAGGAGGACCACCTTCCTCTATCTGTCTTTCCTCCAGCTGGAGGCCCGTGGACCCAGACTGTAATGCAAGGATGTCTGCATCCCTGCGCTGCTCTGCAGCCATAGCAGCAAAATCGATACCGACTTAAACTGGGGAGATCAGAGCACGGGACAGACAGTCGCCTACTAAGTTGGACTTACCGGCAACATGCTGAATGTCAGTCGTGAATTCAGAAATGGCAGCAAGGTGGCATTGCTGTCGTGCGGACCAGGGGTCAGATGTTTTGGAAATGGCGAAGATGAGGGGCTTGTGGTCCACAAAGGCAGTAAATGAGCGGCCCACCAGAAAATATCTAAAATGGCGTGTAGCCAGGTGGAGAGCAAGCAGCTCTCTATCAAAAACGCTGTATTTGCGTTCATTGTCCCGCAAAGTATGGCTGAAAAAAGCAAGTGGCTGCCAAACACCCGAGAAGAGCTGCTCCAAAACTGCCCCCACTGCCACGTCAGATGCATCAGTTGTCAATGCTATCTGTGCTGACTGGGAAGGGTGGGCCAGAAGAGCAGCATTGGCTGAAGCAGACTTAGCGCCACCAAATGCCTAAAAGCGTTCAGGGACCCATTCGACGCTGTCTGTGGCTCCTTTCTGTTTGAGAGCGCCATAAAGCAGCTGCAGAAGTTGTGCTGCTTTGGGGATAAAGCGGTTGTAAAAGTTAACCATCCCCAAGAACTCCTGCAGGGCTTTAACTGTCTGGGGGCGGGGAAAATTGGCCACCGCCTGAACTTTTTGTGGCAGTGGGACCGCACCACTGGCAGAAATGCTGGTGGCCCAAAAAGTCAATGACCGGCAACCCAAATTGGCATTTTGCCGGGTTGATAATCAGGCCATGTGCTGCCAAACGTTGAAACAGCTGACGTAGGTGGGTCATGTGCTGTTCAGCCGAGCTGCTGGCCACACGGATGTCATCCAAATACACAAAAACTAAGGACAACCCACGGAGAACGGAATCCATCAACCGCTGAAATGTTTGAGCTGCACCTTTAAGGCCGAATGGCATGCATAAAAACTCAAAAAGGCCAAATGGAGTGATAACTGCGGTTTTAGGAATGTCCTCAGCTCTGACGGGAACCTGGTGATAACCCCCGAACCAAATCCACTTTAGAAAAAATGGATGTCCCGGCAAGATGGACAGAGAAATCCTGGATGTGGGGGATAGGATAACGGTCATTCTCTGTGACGTTATTAAGACGACGGAAATCCCCAAAAGGCCGCCACTGGCCGTCCGACTTAGGTACCATGTGCAACGGTGACGCCCAGGGGCTGTTGGAGCACCGCACGATCCCTAAACGCTCCTTGTTGGCAAACTCCTCCCGTGCAACAGCCAGCTTTGCCGCGTCAAGACGGCGGCGCGCACGCAAACACTGGAGCGCCAGTCGTGGGGACATAATGCTCTGTCCCGTGTTTTGCGTCGGTGTTTGAAAAATTGGGGAGAGTCAGAGAAGGAAAGTCTGACATTAAACACTGGAAAGCGTCCTCTGAAGCTAAAAAATTAGTATGTACTAACGGCCCAGCTCCTCGCATTAGACACGACAGTGAGGAAAAAGACACAGCATCAATTAAACGCCTGTTTGCAACGTCCACTAGCAGGCTGTGAGCACAGAGGAAGTCAGCCCCTATGATGGGGACAGAGCTCGCAGCTACTACAAAGTTCCATTGGAAGTCACGCCCATTGAAACAGACAGTCAGCAATCTTTCTCCGAATGTTCTGATGGGAGAACCGTTAGCGGCGGTCGTCTGGGGACCGCAGCCCTCAGCAAGCCTGTCGGAGCCCAATGGGGGAACGAGGCTCTTCTGCGAACCCGAATCCAGCAGAAAACTTCTCCCCGATCGCGAATCCTCAACAAAGAGCAGCCTCTCCTTATCGCCGACGGCCGCGGCTGCCAGCAGGCGTCAGCTTGTTCGTTTCCCGGCGGCTTAAAGTTGCACGGCGGGAGGCAACGCCGCGCCCTTGTGCTGAAGCGCTGATGGTAAACACAAAGAGCCAGCTTCTGGCGTTTCCTGGTGGCGATCCCTGCCATCACCGATGGCTGATCGACCGCTGAAGCGGGCAAAGGCTCAGAAGAAGCTGCTGTAGTTTCCCTAGTTAGCGACTGGACCGTGAAGGTCTTGGAAGCCAGGAGGATGCGATCAGCTTCTTCCGCCAGCGAGCGGTAATCAGCAGGGAAGAGTGACCTGCACCGGGGCTGGAAGTTGTCGCAGGAACAGGTGGATGAAAAGGAATCCACCGTCGTTGTCACCCAGCAAGGACAGCATGCTTTCCATCAGCTCCAAAGCCGAGGCATCCCCTAACCCCGAGAGAGAAAGCAACTTCTTGCCGCGTTCTGAGTCGGACAGGGAGTAACGGCGGAGTAGCAGGTGCTTGAGGGCGCGGTACTTTCCGTCCGCCGGAGGGTTGCAGAGCAGGGTCATTGCTCGCCTGGTGGATGGCGGATCCAGCGCTGAAACCACATAGTGGTACTTTGTGTCATCTGATGAGATTCCACGAAGAGCAAACTGTGCTTCGACTTGGAAGAACCATGATTGCGGATCATGTTGCCAGAAATCCGGGATCTTAACGTCCACAGCAAAAGAAGCCGGAGGAGCCGGTGGAGGTCCACCAGAAACGGCGATCGGCTGAGAGGAGCTGGGCAGGCCATCAGATGTGGACATGTTGGCTCACAGGGGTCACCAATGTGGAGGAGTAAAGATGACGACACAAAGCAGGCAGGTTTAAACAGTTCTTTACTCTACTCCAACTGAGAGCAACTGTACAGAAACCCACATATATACACATCCGAACAAACATAACTGCAACCTCTCCACTGAGTGAGAGTGGAGTCCCCTAGTGGTCCGCCACAACATATTATATTATATTATATATTATTATATTTATACATATTTAGAATAAAATGTAGTGGTATAAATAGCTCTCGAAACAAATAAAAGAAATAAACATTTCTGTTTTTAAAGATTTTTTTTTATGCTTTTGACCAGTAGGGAGTGTGGACCAGGACAAACAGAGCATAGTTCGTCTTCCCTTGTCCACATAAACAAATCTTTTCATGAAAAATTGTTATCATATTTTAATTTGCAGCAAGAAACAATGTCAACGTTTTTTTTAGTAAAGAGGTAAAAAAAAAAAGTTATTGTCTCTAATGTAACAAAACAAAAGTAAATGTTTTGATTTAGAAAGAAAAACCTTGTCAAGTACAGAAAAAAAATAACCAAGTAATGTAAACAGGTAAATGCACTTACTACCATTACTATTCCCCTCTGGTTGAAGGTGCAGGTAAAAAATAAATGTAAATCATTTTTTATGCTTATCTTTTAGCCATTAGCCAAAAACACTATCACAATCGTAAACATGGTGTGAAGTTTACTGGACTCTACAGGGACTTTAACAGAAACAGGTGGCTTCACTGAAATGAGACCAGGTGAGTTTTTTGTGAGACTTAATAAATGTCCAAATTATTTAATTTCTCATCACTGGACAAAGAAGTCCTTGTTTTCTGCTTTTAAATTAAAAGTTCTTCTGTCCAGTCAAACATAGGCTTTAGCATTTCTATGCATGTAGGCAAAGTGGAAACATTCCCCTGTAGGAGAAACATGAAGTCAGTGAAAAAATGGCTAGTTTAAGATTAAAATTATTTTAATGAGGGGGGGGTGTATAGCATAAATCATAAACAGCATTCTAGGATAGGAACTCTATACCAATGTGCCAATTTTGAAGTATATAGATGGTGATATTATAGTTTAGGGAGACTACTGCAGCAATTAGCTCACTATCAATCAACTCAGTTCAAAAATTATTTTTGATCCCAAAGGGAAATTAAATTCCTGGTGCATCATAATCTACCATAAATCATAGTAGATCATAGAATCTACCATGAATTCTAACAAATTTGATTGAGAAAAATATGAGGCAAGCTTTAAAACTCTCTTAAGACCTTAAGTGGGGGTAATATTTCAGAATGTATAAATTTCCACTGGTGAAATTTTTACCAGCATGTGGAGCCATTGCATTCAGCTCCAAGCTGACACGAAAAGTTCCAAACCCCACAGCTCTGGAACTGTTATAGCTATAGGTCTGAAATTTTCTGCATTTGTGGTTGACATGATGTTGAACAAATATAATATAATGAAACCCACTTTTTCTCAAGACGGTCTTTATTACTGCTGTTCAAAAAAAGACCTATAATTTCTGAGAATAAAAACCCCCAACTTTGAGTTATGTTTGATCTGATGCAGCTTGGTCTGTGTTCTAGTCACCTAATTCAGAAACTAGAGGGAGTTAGCTTTCAAACAATGTATTGCACATCTAATTTGGGCATACAGTTCTTAAGTTATTTGCTTTTCCATTTGGGTATGCAAAATAGGCGAGGATTACCCCAAATGAGGTGGATGTTAAGAGGTTTAAAGTTGAGTCAGCTGGATTTGTCAGCTGGATTTGTTGACATGACAAGGACTCAAAAAAACCAAACAAATATGACATAAACCCAGCATGGACAGCTTGAGAATGGACTTCAACTAGAGGCAAGACCCAGACTTTGGCCTCACTGAGATGATCATTAAACAGCGTAGAGCTGTGTGGGTTAGAAAAGGCAGAAACTTTCTACAAACTGATTTTAAGATGTTTACAAGAAGGTAAAAAAGAGGCTTAAAGTTATTTCAGCCAAGGAAAGTATCTGTCCCCCTCTTACAATGGTGTTATTGTGAGCATGACTCAGTCTTTTGGAAACAACAAGCGGGCGTCAAACATTGAGATGAATCAGTAGAGAAAAATTGTAATCAATTCAAATTGTTTTTAAAAATTAAATGTCATGTCACCATAAAAAAATTATGTAAAAAAAACAAAAAAAACAAAACTGTAATGGTTTCGATTGAGAAATGGTAATTAGGAGGCCAGATAAGTCTGGGGTTTTTATTCTAACTTGGTTACCACTAAGGGCGAGAAATACACATCACTGTCACGCTCATATTGAAACAGGGTAAAATAGAATTTAATATCCTCCTTCTCACATATAAAGCACTAAAAAAACCAAGCTCTTATATCCAAGATCTGATTGTTCCTGCTCTTCCTAACAGAGCCCCTCGCTCCAGATCTGCAAGATTATTAGTGGTTCCTAGATTTTCTAAAAGTAGAATGGGAGACAGATCTTGAAGTTATCAGGCTACTCCTCACCTACCAGTTTTAGTCCTAGAGGCGGATACCCTGTCTACTTTTAAAGCAAGGTTTAAAACTGCTTTATGATAAAGCTTATAGTTAAAAACAGAGTGATGTTTGCTTAGTTTCTGGGTGAGTAGAGAGGTAGGTGAAGGTAGAGGGTTAACAGCCTGATCCAGCTGGGAAGAACTTCAGTTCGCACAGACGTTTCTCCTTGGCCTTACCTTGGTCCTACTATGGCTCTATCTTTCTTATACCTCATCCAAAGTAGTTAGCTATTTTATGTATTTATGCTGCTATATCCCGAATCTGCTGGATGACATAGATACCACTTCTCCTCATCACCCATCATTCTATCTCTATTCTCCTATTCAAGTATTGTTTGTTCAACCTCTTACATGTTCTATCTGGGTTTTTTTTCAACATAGTATCTTCATCTGGTCTGTACTGTTTGGCTGTGACTTCATCCTAAAGAGAAAAATCAGCCGTGCTTCTGCCGTCAACATCTCTCTTTATAGATGTTGGATCTTGGCCTGTGATCATCTCACTAAATGGCTGATATAAGTGGCTATCAGTCCCATAGAATAGCTTCAGATTGTGCCAGTGGACTCAGCAGGTTGTTATCATTGAGTGAATCCTAATCCTAAGCCTAAAATAATTCCTTTTCTACCATGGAATTAATGGATATATTTGTGCGCATTCTGAAAATAATTTCTGAAGATCTTCATGTACTGTAAATATAACTAAATAAAAATAAAATGATGGGCATCTCGCCCATATTAAACAAACCAAAAACAAGTGATCTCATGCCCTGTCAACTAAGTAGTAGAACCCTGTACCTATAAATATTTAATTCTCTGTAAAAAAAAAAAAAAAAGTGACAATCTTTCTTTAATAAGATCCTCATCAAACAGACAAGCAACCTAAAGTGTGTATCGGACCTAGTGAATGATATATATATAATATATATATATTTTTCATGCACAAAACAAAATGTTACTAAATCAGGAAATAAAACAGCGTGATTGGCTGTAAGGAAGCGGAGACAGTGGACACTCCGAGTTAACTGAAGAAAACCTGCCACCGACCAGGTTAGCTCTGGGTAGAATATTTCTACAGTGACTGAAAGAGAGGTTGAGGAAACTCTCAGTTTTCAGGTTTAGACAACTTAGAGTTTTCAGTAAACCTGCTTCGTGAAACGGACTCCAAGTCTTGGAAGTGTCATCATGATATTTTCAAATGTCAGATTTTGAAATTTTGTTATTTCAGATTCAATCTTTTAGATTTTCTTTCACAGACTTTTCAAAATTCTGATTAAGTTGGCATCACATTATCTTCACTTTAAGCCCAATACAAACATTCGCTCTTAACCAATAAAAATACATTTGCTAACGAAAAAAAATTGAAAGCATCTAATTCAAAAAATAAAATATAAAAAAGGCATTTGAAATAAGAAACAATTTGCAAAAATACAGCAAGGATATTCTCAAAATCTTTTTTTAATGAAATTTTTTTTTCTGAAAAGCTGTTTTTTCTGATTTAAATTTACATTTTTTTTAACTAACCATTTTTAAAAAATATGTTGCCTTTTTTTTATAATCTTGTCAAAATGTGTTGTTTGCTTGAAAAAATAAAGGAACAAAATTAATTCCATAGGGTAAGGTCATAGAAATGGTTGTAAATAATTGAAAATCAATGGAAGTAAATGTGAGTCAACACACGTTTTTCACATCATTTTGGAAGATGAGAATTTGTATTTGTGAGTGTTTTTGTTCTACCACCTAACCCTGAACAATAAAACTGAACTATTGTACTCTTCCTTGCAGGCATCAGGTGTTAAGGATTGTGCCAAAAGATGATGTCCAGATGTCCCTTATCAAACTCTTGGAAGACATATTGGAATTGGAGGTTATTTATCAGTTTACTTTTTATCAGTTTTGTTTGAAAGTAAAACAAAATCATTTATATATGATGTAAAACTTCTGAGTGTTCCTTCAGCTGGACTTCTGGAGATGGGTGGCGCCTGTGGATGTAAGAGTTCCCTCTCACAGCCTTAAGGCTGTCATGACCTACTTGGAGAGTCACAACATCAAGTACTTCCCAGTGATCAAAGACCTGCAGGTATGCAATAACAGATAAGCGGTTCTATGCATGGGCCAACAAGGGCCACAAACCTGATGTATTAACAATGTAATACTAAATACATTTCTTGTGATGATATCCGCCGGCACAGATACAATAGATGATTGTTCTCTGTTGTCTATTTTATTATTTAAACTTTTATATCAGCAATTATTTAAAAATTCAGGTTTTGCACTTTTAAACAGTTGTATTCAGACAAAGTTTATCATTTTCTTACACTATATTTACGATCCAGAGAGCCGCAAATGGCTCTTTGCTTCTGTGTCTCACATAGTATACCAAGCAGCAAAGGATTGCCATTTTTGGCTTCATGCTTTGGTTCTCAAGCCTCATCAAAATGCACTGGCCCCTACCATTTAAGACTATTTTTTTATTTTTCATTTTATATGTATTTTTTTTTTGTTCTTTGTCATATTTTTTTTTTCACAAATATTATATTTTAGATTGTACTTTCTTTATTTTATTTCGTACATTGTTTTTTCTAAATTTTTAAATCTATATTCTCTTTTGATATCTGTGGTGCCAGATTGAGTTTTACGAATTGTTTGAATTGTCTTCCATTGGTCTGTGTGGACATTAGCAATAACATTAGCAATAAGATTTTTAGAATACAAGAGCGAGCATATGTATTGAATTTCCAATAAAAAGAGAATGTGATCTGTGAAATGTAAATTGAAAATCTTGCAACTCATAAAACAGTTTGAAAAACACAAATGAAAAAAAAATGTAAAACATGCTAAAAAATAAATGTAATTGGAAAAATAAAATTTGAAACTATAAAAACTGTATAAAATGTAACTTCTAAAAAAAATATGAACTATACTGAAAGAAATCAGAAGAAACTGCAAAGCTATTCTCAAAACCTGTCAACAATGGGTGGTAAGTTTGCTTAAGGACCCAGATGCAGAGCCGAGGGAAGCAGAGATGAGTTCTGACTGATTTAACTAAAGAACACAGGAAACAGAGGTACAAATCCAGAAATCTAACTAAAATGTTTAACAAACCAAAAAACCATGGAGACATGAGGGGGAAAAAATTAGCCTGAGGAGCCACAGGGAGACGAGCTGAGTAGATCAGTACAGCAACGAGAAAGAACCAGCACTGAGTGACTGCAGAGGTGGAGTATTTAAGGAGAACAGAACAAAGGATGGACTAATGAGCTGAATAAGGAGCAGGTGTGGGTGGAACTGGCAAGAGGGAATCCAAGGGGAAAGAAAACAATCACAAGGGGGCAACAGAGAGTAACTAAAGAATGCTTGAATATCATGGAAAATAAAAAAACAGCTGATAACAGAAAACTGAAAACTCAGATTCACAACAAATGGGAAGAACCATAACAAAACCTTTTGTTGATTGTTTCATTTCTGGATTGCATATTGTTTATATATATATATATATATATATATATATATATATATATATATATATATATATATATATATATATATATATATATATATATATATATATATATATATATATTTTTTTTTTTTTTTTTTTTTTTTTTTTTTTTACAAGTTCTATTTATAAAACTTATAATAAAAACAAAATCCTTCCAAAATGTTGCAGGTTTTGCTGGATGCAGAAGAGAAGCAAATGAGAACTACTGCTCCTGCCATTGACACTGAAAGCTTTGACTACTCAAACTACCACACTCTCAGTGAGGTAAGTGGTAATTTCATCTAGTGCCATGGCTACCAACTCTAGTCATATTGTACCTCTGCCCTGCACATCTTTATAAAATCCTAAGTCCACTCAACGAGTGAACACAGCACCACCGAAGATGCAGAAGATGTTATACTGTTCAGAGTGATCGCCTCTCAGGAAAGTTTTGGGGAGATAACGTTTAAAGATATAAACACAGAGCTTTCCTTTACATAACCTAATAACAAAAACTGATGCCAGTAAACAAAGGCAATGATCAATCATGCAACCAAATTATATATATATATATATATATATTTTATTTATTTTTTGTATTTATTTTTTTTTTCTTACCTTTAATAAGAAGTGAATGTACAGACTATATATATATACATATATATTTATAATTTTTTTTTTCTTTTTTTTTCTTACCTTTAATAAGAAGTGAATTTACAGACAAACAAAAGGTCTGAGGCAAAAAAAAGACTTCAAGTATTTTTTATTGTTGGGGCTTGATGAAGCACAGCAAATAATAAGCAATGCTGTGCTTTATCAAAAGACACAAGTATGGAGGTTTATAATATACTTTTCAAAACGGAATTTATGAAAGATTAAGTTGTCAATCAAGTAGTTACTTGGTCATAATCTTGATATTATTTTATGCATTGATTAATGAACCTAGTATCTTGGTAGATGGTGCCACTTCTCCCTCCACTCTCAGGTCTTTGACATGATTCAATTAAATTCAAAATGCTTTATTAACCCAAACAGGGAATTAAATGTTACAGTAACTCATAGGTTATTTTTCATCCAGGTGTTCTAGGTGTTGATAGCTGCAGATAGGATGGATCTTATGTAGCGGTCTGTCTTACACCAGAGACTCTCTGCTGTTGTTTAATAATCTTCTGAAGAGGATGCTCTCTGTTCATCATAATTTTTTTCACTTTATGAAGAATTCTTCTTTGTGAAATAGTCTCCAGAGGTTCTAGAGGAGTTCCTAAAACAGAGCCGGCCGTCTTTTACCCCAGCAGATGATGCAAAAAGAGATCAGACTCTGCACAACAGACATAGAAGATATGTAGCATATTGCTGCAAATGCTGAAAGACCTAAGCTTCCTTAGAACACAAAGAACAGCATAGAAGTCAACTTCTTTGTCATTACACTGTCACAAGTATGAAGCAATGAAATGTAGTTTGCATCTATCCAGAAGTGCTATACAGAATATAAATATTTATTTCTATGTATAGACTATGTATGCATGGACTATAAATGGTATATATAAACAGTGTAATTGTAGAGCATTGCGCTTGTGCTCTGAGAGGGTTGTAAGGGGTGGGGGTGAAGACAGGAAGTCTTATTGATTGATTTTGAAAAATTTATGTAAAATGCCACATTTGGGGAAGTTTAATAATCTTGATCTGAACTTTCCATACTAGATAAAGTCCTTTAATAGCGAAAATATGACACCTTCACTTGCCAAAGAGTGATGATGAGTTTTATGAATATTAATATTAGATATATCATATGAATATCCTAAAATCACTCTAAAACATAATATAATCCTGTCTCCGTGTTAATGGTGACCTCTTCAGCAGCCATAATGTGCTAGTATTTAAAAGAGTCTCGAGACACCTAAAACATGCAGGACAGGGATACTCGAGGAGCAGGGCTGGGAACAACCGATGCAACGGGACCAAAAAGTGTAAGTATTCATCTTTTGGGTCAGGGTTAATTTCTTATCTTTTCCTCAGATCTACAGTTTCCAGGACATGCTGGTGGCAGAGAATCCGAAGTTGGTCAGCAAGATAGTGATCGGTCAAAGCTATGAACGTCGCCCACTTAATGTTCTCAAGGTGAAAGACGCCTTAGAAAAGTCTCTTTACCAAAGATTTAATAAAACACTTGGTTGCTCAAAGCAAATTATAGCTTTAGATAAGAAAACACAATATAAATGTATTTTTATCTGTCTGTTCTGACTGGGATCTCCTTTTGTGTCCTCTCTCTGTAGTTCAGCACTGGTGGAAGCAACCGTCCTGCCATCTGGATCGACACTGGAATCCATGCCAGAGAGTGGGTCACTCAGGCTAGTGGTGTCTGGTTTGCAAAGAAGGTTAATTAACATTTAACAGTTTCTGCTGCCTCTGAACTGAACCTGTGGCATTATTTGATGACCTGTTGCCTTTGTCTGTAGATTGTGACTGATTATGGAAAGGACCAATCTCTCACTGCCATCCTCAACAGAATGGACATTTTCTTAGAGATTGTGGTCAACCCTGATGGATACCAGTACACCCACACCAGAGTAAGACAAGCCCAGTTAGACACAAAAACAAAAATCTGTTTTTTATAGACAGCTTTAAATGTGCTCCTGATAAAGAACTTTATCCTTTTACTAACTAGATATCAGTTAACCATCAGCAGGGTATCACAGTAGGGTGGAGATTTGAAGGAGGACCCAAGTGCACACTGAAGCTGAAAGAGGTTACTTAGACTTAGACTTTGACAGATTTATTTTGTCATTTTGTGAGTGTATACAAAAAGACATTTCGTTTAAAACAGCTCTAGAAAATTTAATTTTTTGAAGAGCAGCCTTGAAAACATTAATAAATACATAAAAAACTAGTAATGTAAAAATATGGCTGTATATTTACAGTTCTAGCAATTTTTATTTTTTTATGAATACAGTGACCCATTTTACACAACAGTCTAATGGCAGTGGGGAAGAAGCTATTGCAGAATAAGCTGGACCTGCATTGGATGCTTTGAAGTCTCTCCTCAGAGGGCAGCAGGGAGAACAGCCCATGGTGGGGGTGTGAGGGGTCATTGATGATGTTACGGGCTCAGGACACGCAGCACTGGGATGAAATGTTTTCTAAAGGAGGGAAGAGGAGCCCTGGTGATCTTCTCTGCTGTTCTTACTACTCTTCTCACCATCTTCCAGTCTTAGGCGCTGCAGCCTCCACACCACACAGTGAGACAGCTGGTCAGAACACTCTATGTTGCTTCTGTATAAGGTCGTAAGATGGGTGGGGGCCGGTGGGCTCTCCTTATCTTCCACAAGAAGTACATGCACTTTTGTGCCCCTTTGACCAGTGAGGTGGTGTTTACATTCAAGGTGAGGGTGTCTGTGATGTGCACCCCCAGGAATTTGGTGCTGTTGGCCACCTCTACAGCTGAGCTGTTGATGACCAGTGGAACGTGGTTAGGCCAGTTCTTCCTGAAGTCTTTTTCGTCTTCTCCAAGTTCAGGATCAGGCTGTTATCTTTGCACCAGTCCACCAGCTGCTCCACCTCCTCTCTGGAGGGAGCAGGTGGCTTGGGACGCAGCCCTGAGGGGAGCCTGTGCTTAGGATGATGACATCAGAGGTGTTCTGTACTTGCAGATTTATTATCCAAAAAAGGGCAATAGAAGCAAAAATCCAAAAACGTAAATCCACAAAAACTGAGAAACAGGAATACTCACAAAAAGGGGCAAAGAAATTACAGCAAACCAGCAACAGGTGCATATATGGGAGAGAGAAACAAAGACCAGGCTAATCAGCAGATTGGGAGCAGGTGTGAATAGATGAGTCTAGAAAGGAGCTGAGGAAAAGGGGACTGACACAAGAGAGCAAGAGAGAACTCAAATACAATCAAAAATAACTAAAATAACATAACACAAAATGGAAATAAAACCAATGAAAACTCAAATATAAAACTTAAACAGAACCAAAACCATGACACAAGGCAACCCAATAAAATATGAACATTGAAGAGTTTTCTGATGCTTCCAGGACCGTATGTGGCGTAAGAATAGGAGACCAAACCGTGGCTCCAGGTGTGTCGGCGTAGACCTGAACAGGAACTGGAATGCTGGTTTTGGAGGTATTCCTTTTTTCTATAAAGGGAAATCAAACAAGTCACTGTAAAAACAAACCAAAGCATGACATTGTTTAATGCAAAATTAGGTTAAGAATCAGGAAAAGCTTAGCTTAGAATTTTTTTATATCCTAAGGAAGAAAATAAATTCTTCATTTTTAAAAAGCGGTTTGTGTTTTTCCTAATTTGAAAAGGTAAGTTTAAGTTTTGCAACTTTTTCAGAGCACAAGCACTGGTCTTACCTACTGGGCCAACACTTCCCTGTAAAACTGCAGTATTGGAGGATAAATGTAGAAATAGAAGAATGAAGTGATTCCTATATCCTGAAGCAGCCTAAGCCTGTTGCAGAATAACTTTAGATATGGATCAGGATGACGTGACCAATCCAAAGCCTCTTTCCCACTGAAATTACCGGGTTAACCCAGGTTTTTAAATGGCTCAATTTGGCTCACTTCCCAGCAAAAAAAAGCTGGGTGTGCGTTCTCGCTGGCAAGCTCACGTGACCTCTAGCCCCCCGCCACTGCATGTCTGGTGACACCATCATTCTGGGCTAGCGTTGTTGATTTCACTAGTGCGACAGAAATCAGGAAAGTAAAGAATGGAGAGCAACATGTAAGGAAGCCAGGGCATAGTGTGTGCAGTTTAGCTGTTTTATCTGTCCAAATCCCTCTAACCAGTGCCGCGCCATATTTATCAAATTTAAAAAGATTTGTCTCGGCCTGTTAGAGCCAGTGTTGTTTTTTACAGTTATCTTAGATTTAGTCTTAGTCTTATGGACGAAAACTATTGTGGTCTGAAAATGTAGCTATATATACATATAAATAGGATCATATATAAATTGATCCTATTTACTCAGTATAAAAGTTTTCACTCAGGCTGTTTCACCTGCAAGGCCACACAATTCCCCTGTGTGAGGGTGTTTTTAGACAAGACATGCCTTATTCCCATAATAAGTAGTTTTGCACCGATACCAGTATCGGGCAGGGCAAAAATCCAGCACTAAAATGGTGGTATCGGTATTGGTGAGTACCAACAAATAGGACACCGACCATTCAACTATTGTCACCCATTCCAGGTAGACAATAAAAAGTTCTACTGGATTCACTTTGTCTTAGTCCTTTTCTTGCTTCACAAAGGTAGGTAGAAGCTTGACAAAGCCATGATGGCAATTATTTTACATCCAAGTAGTATGCAATTCTTCATAAACACACACACACACACACACACACACACACACACACACACACACACACACACACACACACACACACACACACACACACACACACACACACACACACACACACACACACACACACACACATTAATTTGAATAGATAGAAACAAGAACTATGACAGAAAAATATTCAAAGATCTATGTACCTTTTCACAAGTCATGATCCAAAAATCAACAGTATGCAATTAAATATTTACTTTAAATATAATTTAGGGATTACTTTTGGTAGAAATAAAGAAGGTTTAGCATCACCACTTTTGAGCTGGAAGACATAGGGCCGGATCTATCAAAGGTTTGCGCGTATAAAAACGTGAGCTATTTCACTGCGCACGCTAAAAAATGTACAAACTAAACTATCAACAGCGTGCTAAAATTATTTGGTCTTTAAAACGTGCTAAATAGCGCCTCTTATCCATTTACTACTTTTTCTGCAATGAATATGCAATATGGGGCGTTTACACGCAAAAGTGCGTCTTGTGGGAGGAGAACATGTAAATATATTAATTTAGCACTCGCAAAGTGATTTATTAAACCTGAAAGCAATTTTGCTAACGGTATCTGACTCTATATTTAACACGTTTCAAAAGAAGGTGCAAATGGTCTGTATGCGTAATTGCGCACACATGGCAGCGGGTATTGTCGCAAGAAGGAGACATGAAATGAAGCAAGGAGACGCAGAGAACGCATTTTTTCACTCCGTGTGAATATTTTTGGAATGAACGAGGAAACGATCATCAAAACATATCGTTTATCCAGCATTGCCCTTTTGGAGCTGTTGGGGGAACTCCGAATGGATTTGGAGCCAGCCACAAGGAGGACCCACGCAATACCAGATATCACAAACTCCTTGCAACATTGCACTTTTTTGCATTTGGGATTTCCCAATCTCGTTTTTCAGAAGTGCTGTCCGACGTTCTAAATGCCATGTCGCCCTGACGCCCTAACGGAGAACCCCGACCACCCCTTGCGCCTGTGGAGCAACATGCCAATGCTGCGGGGATGCGTAAGCGCCTTTGGTATGTGCATTTTTCTACAGGCCAATACAAAACACCTGTTTTTTTTTTTTTTTTACTGCAGTGAAGTAGAAATTCAGACACATACCACCTTAGGGAATAGTATATATATATATATATATATATATATATATATATATATATATTTATATATATATATTGTTTTTTTATTTTTATTTTTTGGAGGGGGTGGGGGTGTCACTGTAAGATTAAAATTTCTTAATGCACTAGTTTGCACAAACTACAAACTACTTTGCCGCAAACCACAAAACGCGCAAAACCATCATTTAAATAGGGCGTCTCCAACAGTTTTGCACCTGCCACCAGTTACGCAATCGCTCTTGTTAAATCACCCGCAAACCATGGTTCAGCCCCTCGCGCAAAATCCCAGTTTGCGAGCGCAAATTCCTGCACGCAAAATTGGATCTTGATAAATCCGGCCCATAGAATCTTACTAGTTAGACAAAAGGATTTTTTACGCTTGGCAAAAGATGATAAACCACACATAATTTATCAAGTAGTGAGTGCAGGAACAGCCATACTGCTGAGAGCGAACCATCATTATGGAGGGTAAAGTGCAGTCGGAGCTATGTGCGAGCAAAGAAGCATTTTATTTTATTTAGTCTCAAAGACGAAAACTCACACCCATGAGTTGTCAACTTTTCATATGCAGAGATCCACGCATGCTGATCAGAGCCTAGGCAATTTTAACACAGGTTGCAAGTCTGAGCTACGTAGAGGTCTTAATAGCACCTCTTTTGTTGTCTTGTAACGTTAAAGGTGTACATCACCCTTTAACCCCTGTTTGTAATAGTAATTAGCCTGCCTGGTTTCCTACTGACCTTAAGGTTCTTAAAAAAAATCTAATCTCAACAAAATAGACTCCTTGGTAACATTTAAACACAAGGTGTTTTATTCAATCTTGTGCCAGGACTGAGTTTATTTAGATGGATTTTTAAATTATGTCCTCTTGGAAACATACTCTAGTAAGTATAAATATTTTAAGTCTACTCATTCCAGATTTAATGCAGCTGAGCTGATTACTCTGTCTGTGTTTCTAATTTTTGTACTTATTTTATTGGGGTGTTAAATTACATACTCTAACGCTGTACAGCTCCTTTATCATTCCTATGGTTGTGTTTAATAAGTCTTGTAATTAAAGTGGTGTGTTATATTGTGGTGGCGTTCCTTTATGTAGCTCTTTCCACTTTAACACATGTTTTAGCTTATTCCATTGAATACCGAAAATACCAATTCATGTGTGCTGTTTGTCCTCCAATGCTTAAAACATCCAGGGCAAGGTTCCAGCAGAGATCCTTGTTCAAACATCTACCACGGCGCCAGAGCTCATTCTGAACCTGAAGTCAGTTCCATTGTAAACTTTCTGAGATCGCATGGCAACATCAAGGCCTTCATTGCCATCCATTCCTACTCACAGATGCTCTTGTACCCTTATGGCTATACAAGGGTCCCTGCAAAAGATAATGCTGAGCTGGTAAAAACACTTGTAGTTGCATTAAGCAAATTCATTAAAAGATTCCTTCAGCATTTTTTTTAAGCTCTGTTGTTTGGTAACCACGATAACTTTTTTTTTTGCAGAAACAAGTGGCTCAAAAGGCAGTCACTGCTCTGACCTCTTTGTATGGCACTCCGTATAGATATGGTAGCATCATCAGCACTATCTGTAAGTCCCCGAAACGTTTGGCCATGATACAGACTAGCTTTGATGTGACTTTGCTTAAACTGGTGCTATTGTTAAAGTGATAGCGAGCATTTATTATTGAGAGAGCAACATTACTGAGGTCTAAGACTAAAAACAAGTACCAGTGCATGAGCAGTACCAGCAGTGTCTGGTTTTATCACACATGCCAATCCTCATTTTAAATTTACTGATAAGATAACTTTCAGCAAAAATAATTGCCATACAGGAGTCAATGGAATATATTCTACCTGAGTTCCCTGAAATCAGGAAAAAACTGTGTAAAGTTTAATATTTTCTTTTCATTGTAGACCAATCTAGTGGTGGTTCCATTGACTGGACCTACAACCAGGGAATCAAGTACTCTTACACCTTTGAGCTGAGGGACACTGGCATCTTCGGCTTCATCCTCCCTGCCAATCAAATCATCCCCACTGCAAACGAGACATGGCTGGCTCTGAAGAGCATCATGGATCACACCTTCAAGAACCCATACTGAGAGAAATATGCAGAGTTATGGCAAATAACGTGTGGCTATCCGGCTTTTGGCATGCATACTTTTGGAGTATTATAGGGAAAAATAAAAATGCATACTGAAAAACAAGCTTGTCAATGATTATCGCTTTCTTGAAATAGTAGAACTGAAGGTAAGCTGGATCAGAGCTCTAAGCCATGGACATCTAAGTGTCGATGAAAACAAGTCATAACCTTCCCCATGCCAGAGTGTAGAGAACATCAGAAAAAGCTCTAAATAGATATTATTACTTCTGTGGCTTTTCACATTTCCCTTTTTAACAAAATGTAGACGTGGTTTGGACACAAATCATGTTGTCTTTTCAGAGAGTGTCAGGACATTACTTAAAAGGCAAAGGGGATAGGAGCTGAAAATCTAACTTTCATAACTTTTATAGTGGGAAAAAAGTATTCAACAATTCACCCTAGTTAAATAAACGGAGATGGATGGATTTCACTTAGTTGGCACATTTATTCATATCTTTGCAAAGAGAGAACAGTTCATCATACAGCCCTTATGGCACAGCATTCAACAATGGAAAAGTAGTCAGGGTCAAAACAAATTACAGCCACTTTGGTTAACAGTACCATGTTATGAATAAACCTTAAGAAAGAATCTGGCTTGTTATGGGAAGAAGCTATGTCTAGTCTACAAATACCATCACGCAGAGAATTGTGTTGCCTTCAAGGTGAAACAGACTGAGTGAAAACTTTTATAGTGAGTAAATAGGATAAATTAATATATATTAGAAGAGAAATCTGAATTTTCCGACAACACTTTCTACTTCTGAAGGCAGACAAAAACATAATTTATTGTCTTTGGACCTGAATCCCTGAAAACGAAGCTGATTTGTCAGTGAGTCTTTTGGATGGAATTAAATTAATCTAAGATAATAAAGTAAAAGATCTTGAAGGTATTTTTGATCAGGACCTATAATTTTAATATATTATACGTCCTTTTAAATCCCATTTTAAACAGATTTCTAGATGTTCCTTCTTTCATCTCTGGAATATTGCAAATAAATATTCTGTCCAGGGGTAGTGCTGAGAAACTAGTCCATGCATTAGTCCATACTTTAAGGCTCACTATTGTAGTTTTTTACCATCAGGAAGTTCGCTAACTTTAGCTCGGTGGTGGACAAGGTACTTAATAGTAGTACTTCGGTAAAATAATTTATACTCATCAAATCTTACTCAATCACAATGCTCACTTTCAAAAAATACACAAGTATCCAAAAGTACAAATTACATTTTCTAATATTAGTATGATCCAGAATGCTGCAGCCAGAGTTCTGATGAAAATTAAAAAGAGAGATATCTCTCCTATCCTGGCTTCTCTTCATTGGCTTCTTGTTAACTCCAGAATAGAATTTAAAATCCTCCTTCTCACATATAAAGCCTTAAATGGCCAAGCTCCATCTTATATCAGAGATCTGATTGTTCCTTATGTTCCTAACAGAGAACTTTGCTCTCAACCTACAGGTTTACTAGTGTTTCCTAGAATTTCTAAAAGTAGAATGGAAGTCAGATCTTTTAGTTTCAGGCTCCTCTCCTGTGGAACCAACTACCAGTTTTAGTCCGTGAGGCAGACACCAGGTTTACTTTTAAGGCTAGGCTTAAAACGTTCCTTTTTGATAAAGTTTATAGTTAGAGTGGCTCAGGTTATCCTGAACTATTTTTATAGTTATGCTGCTATAGGGTTAGACTGCTGGAGCGGCCGCATCCACCAGCCTTTCATAGTTAAAGGCTGCCGCTCTGCAGCCTCTAGGTTTTGTCACCACCTTTAAGTGGCTCCCTTTGTGTAGTGTGTACACCATCACACAATGAGATGAAGCAAAAAGAGGTGAGTGCTTGTTTCAATAAAATGGTGCATCTAGTAAATTTAAACCAACAGCAATGAAACTGTCTTTAAGTTTCGACACACTGCCTATGATAAACAATACCTTTTATCACTCAGCCCAACTTCTCTCAGGAAATAAAGTCTAAATCCACACATAACAGCACAAATAACACTGCAGGTAGTGGATTATTTCCAGTCCTCACCCTTTATCCATAGCTGAGATTGTCCCCACACATAGACACCAATGCAAAGAAGGTGTCTAAACTAGCTTTATCTAACGAGCTTTATCTTCAGATCCGACATTTAAAAATATAAAACATGTATAAAAAAACAATGAAAAATTGTTTCAAAGAGAAAACAGGAAAGTTAATCTAAAAAAGCCTTATTTTTGGATTGTATTTTTTTTTTCACATTTTTTGGATGAATAAATACTAATGTATTTATTTTAGTCCTACTTCCCTTTTCCTAATTTTCTTGTTTTTTTCTTATTTACTTGTGAGGCCGCAATTGTAAATAAGAACTTGTTCTGAATGAAAATGAAGGTATAAAACATCACTGATCTCACAAAGAAGAAATTCACTCATGCATCTTAACCCGTCCCTTTGTGGAGCAGTGGGCTGCAACAGTGCGGCACCTGGAGAGCAATCAGGGTTAAGGGTCTTGCTCAGGGACCCAGAGTGCAGGTTGTGGGGATAGAACTGGGTACTTGCACACTTCTCATGGTTTTGGCGCACTGCTCTAACCACTAGGCCTCCAATCCCTTAAGATTGCAGAGCTGTAACATACAGGTTTAGATAAGATGTTCGAAATCTATGCAAACTAGTTAAGGTGGAATACATCCTAAAACTCATCCAGACATTATGATCAATGCTGAAATAAGAGCCTTCCCAATAGATTTTCTTATTCTGTTTATTAAGCGAGAAATCCATCCATTCCTGCAAAAAAAAAAATCTAATGATTTAGCATTAATTTACAAACATAATTATTCAACCACTCCATGTTAATTGAATATTACTCATTGTGACAAAAGGGTGAAGACATTCTCTTTTAAATAAACAGACAGCAGTGGACAAAACAGATAGGCCACAGATGATCAATGCCGTAGTTTTAATTGATCTGCAGTTTTTTCTCTGATTGCAAGCATGCCTTTTTTTAATTAAAACAGATGAGGCACTGCAAAACTTTCAACCACAAAAACATCTCCAGCTGCTGATCTTATCCGATCAAGGCCAATGGTGAATAATTAATTTAGTTAAAAAAGCCACTAAAAACTGAAACATTTTACACAGCTAGCAAGCCAGGCTTTAATCAAACATCTGATATGATAAAGAAATTCACAGCTTTGCCTTTGGTCCCCTCAGTAAAAGGAGTTTAGAAAAAGCAAATCTGAACGAGTCACTTAAAGTAAAATTTGAGTGCAAGCATGCCTTTTTTTTTTTTTTTTTTTTTAAAGTAAAACAGATCAGGCACTCTGCAAAACTTCCAACCACAAAAACATTTCAAACTGCTGATCATCAAGACCGATGGTAAATAATTAGTTTGGTTAAAAAAGCCACTAAAAACAAACATTTTACACAGCTGGCAAGCCAGGCTTTAATTAAACATCTGATATGATAAAGAAATTCACAGCATTGCCTTCGGTCCCCTCAGTAAAAGGATTTTAGAAAAAGCAAATCTGAACGAGTCACTTAAACTAAAATCTGAGTGCAAGCATGGATTTTTTAAAAGTAAAACAGATCAGGCACTCTGCAAAACTTAGAATACAGAGAAGCAATTTAAACAGCAAAATCACATCAAAGGTCACAGCAAAGAACATTTCTGCATGAAAACAGGATTTGATCAGCTGAACCTGATTCATCCGAAGTAAATGTGTTTCCAAAGTGTTGATGAAATTAGGCAACCGCAAAAAGTAGTGAAATGTCTGTAGCCAATGTCCACCCACGAAGTGGTTACATCAAAACATTCTGAGGATGTTTTCTGATGGAGGTATGGTTGTTGTTTGGCAGAGGTGTTATTTCCAGGGTCTACTGCTCTGGGCCCTGGAGCCATTTCTCCCCGCTGTGGAGGAGCTGTGACGACTGGAAGCTATGGACCGGCTGCTGCTGGATGATGTGCGGCTGGACAGGCGACCTGCAGGGGAGGAAGAAAAAAAAAGTAAAACAAAAAGGTAAAAAGCTCTGGTGTTTAAGTTCGATTTTAGAAAATTAAGTGAAAGCAGATAGAGAAGGATTGTCTCTTTTTGGTCCAAGCTGAAATGCAAGAATTACATTTTTTTTTTCAACCAACACACATGCTGATAAAAATTATGGAAATTAACCAAAAAACTGCCCTGTAAATGTTTATTTTATGTTTATCAATATTCTATCCAGCTGTATGACGAAGACATCACATAATGAAAGAGACAAATATCTAATGAAATAGATAAAGGGGGAAATTACCACACAGATGCAGCATAATACAAACATTCTACTGCAAACATGTTGAGCTTGAACTATTAATTGGATTCATCGATTAATACAGGCCTTTAGCCTTGCATTCCTGATGACACTCAATATCTAAAAACCAGAAATCCTCAGGCGACATACAGCACTGTACTGCATTAAGGAGAGGATGACCAGGGCCATGTATTGCCAGATTTTGGGGAACAACCTCCTTCCCTCAGTTAGAGCATTGAAGGTGGATTGAGGCTGGGTCTTCTAACATGACAATGATCCGAAGCACACAGCCAGGATAACCAAGGAGTGTGATAACTTGCAACATAGCAGGGAGTTCAAATACTTATTTTCCTCACTGTAGTTTAAGCTTCACTTGGTTTAAATTCTGTAAAAAGATCTTTAAGGAAACTTTTGTCATCTGATTATTAATTGGTTGATAAACAGGGTCCTGGATTATAAAAATAATCATGTTGCATCCAACATACCTGTTAACTTTCTGTTACATTCTGTTGACATTATTCATGCATAGCACCTGATATCAGTCACGCACCCAACAGCAATAAAACAATAGATGTGTGCACTAATCTGCCCGAACTGTGTCCATTTATACCTGCAAAGGCACCAAACACACATCAGTGGCAACCAGCCTGCACACATAACAATACGGTCATAAAGAGATGATCTGATAGATGTACATGTGAGTCAGAAATGTTCAGTATCAACCTTCCACCACAAAGTTTTGTGTGCAAGTCATGGGCAAGACACATTTTCTTATGTTCATCCTTTGGGGTAGTTATAGCTTCTTTTACACCCAAAATATTATCATCATAACAATTTATAAACTCATTTTCCAATTTCAGAACAATTTAGCTTGTGAGTTTCCCAACTTAGCAATTGGTTCCTTTTTCTGTAAGAAATGGAAGATTAGCTCATTCGTAATAGTTTCTAGTTTGAAAATGAGCAGCTCTTTTCTTTTAAGGGACAGTGAGAAACAAACTTGGCTTTTTAATTTAAAAATCAAGAATTGCTTTAATGATATATCAACTCTTCTAAAGTCTAATGACATCAAATCAAAATTGAAAGCTTTGTCATAGCTCAGATTGAGTACTTTTTAGATACATAAAGGGTGGTGCAGCCAATGGGAGATGCCTTGTTGGGACACCATTTTTCATCAGAGTAGCTGAAAGGAGACAAACTTGCCAGCCTTGTGAGTTTTACCTGTAATTGAAAATGTTCTGAAGGTGCCAGAGGAGTTTATAAAACTGGCAAAAAAAACCCACAGATCATTCTTCCTTCTACTTTCTGTTATAATGGAGAACTATCGGAACTTACAACAAACAACAAAAAGAACAAAGGAAATATACGATAAATACATCTGTGCCGATGACTCACATCTTTCAGGCTTTCTGCTGGTCAGGTAAGGTAATTCAATATAATGGAGGAGTTTATTTTGGCATAATGTTAGAAACTGGACAGTTTACTCCAGCAACTAGTCTGTCCCCTGAAAGAGACGGCTAGATTGTTTGTTAGCCTACTGGATGAGCTTTGATGCAACAGTTCATAGCTCTTCACAAAAGTCAGATCCGGTTACCAGCTTCAGCTTCTTTCGTACAAAGTCATGTTATATGCCTATTTCAAAAGGAAAATCCAGTTTATGATAAAATAAAGTTATATATTTAAAGCTATCTTCCTTTTTGAGCCTAAACAGAAGCACAGCACCGGGTGCAATGAGCTGACCTACTGGCAGTACTTCTGAACTACCAGAAACCAGATGGTGGCCAGTAACTCCTGATCATGTTGTAATGCCTTGCAGAAAACCTACAGCTTGTAGATGCATTGCTAACATCAGTAGCACTATTAGCAAGGATATGTACTAAATCTATCTATCATAATCTATCAACTTCACAGACATCAGAGCACATCCTGAGTTTTAGTGAAATTCAAAATTCCGACTGTTTTCTTAACATAACTCAAGTTTGATCCCTTTTGGAATCAAACATCATCTTGCTTCTTTTTAAACTTGATCTTGATTTTTTTCTTTTTTCACAGCTACACTGAGAGCTCCACAGTTGCCCGCCTTTATTGCTTCGACTTGTTGACCAAATGCATAAATGAGAAGTGCTGTAATCCTGGTCACATGATGTAATGGTAAATGTACACACAACGGCTACATTTACTAAAAAATAAAAAATAAACTTAAAAAAACTAAAACAAATACTTGGCCAGCAGAAAACCACAATATGTCATAAAAACTTTCTATGCAACAAGAGTGAGTAACTGGCATATATAGAAAAAAATGTCAGATAACATGGCTTTAACTTTAAATATATTGTTCTAGATCTGACTAAATTAGACATGATAATTAAAGAATCATGGCTGCAAATACAGGGACAGTTTCTATAAATTATAACCAATGTGGGCCCCAGTGGAAACACAGCCTGAACAATAAGAAAACACATTAAATGGGGAGTTAAAATAAAGAGCCATAACAAATCATTCCCAATTAAAATGCACAGACCTTTCTAATTGTCCATTTTTTTGTTTCGTTTTTTACTTTCTGACTGGGTTATTTCTTACTCTGTGAGTTACTGGGGACGGTTATCTCATCCAGCTGCTCCTGGATCTTGTCCAGCTCATCCGATGTAAACCTCCAACGTTTCTCGGCAGCTTGAGCTGACTGTTGGACCACAGAGCATTTCCTCCCCTTCGATGAGTTAGGAGAGGAGAGGCATGATGCTGGGATGCAGCCTGTCGTCATCCCGCTTGGAAACTTCTGGGCGATTACTCTAAGACCTTGGAGAGGAGGACAGAGGAAGGTTGTGGATCTTAAATATGAGCATTGCTGACTGGAAATATCTCTTTGAAGTTGGATTAGTTCGCTAAATTGAATTATTAAAAACAACCACAAAACAGGAATTTAAAAAATATTGACATATTGAGTACCTTAATGAAAAAGAACACAGTGATTCAGGAGGTAAACGATGTGGCAGAGACACCAACAAACAAACAGGAATAAGGTTCCTGCTTCTCACCTTAACATTCATCACTAAAAAGGCTTCTCTGTGAATGTGGTGGAGAAAACTGCCAGATCATTTCCTGGAAGGTTGAATTTGCAAACTCAGAGTTTTGTGGAAAAAAAAATGTGCTGAATGATCGACTGACTTTAATCTGACCTAGTAAAATTTAAGACAGGAAAACCGTCTTACTTTTATTGCAAAAGGAAATATCTCCCAGTGAATGTGCTAACATTTAGAGTCTTCTCTCCACTGTAGGTCTAGCTCAACTTCAGATCACTTTTATCTACAGACATCTGGCTCTATACAGGCTGTCATCAGCAATTGTTAGAGCTTTTATGGTGCTTAAAAACAAACAAACAGGGATCTGTTGTTTATCTTAGTGAGATTAAGTCATTTGGTCAGAAATGACATGAGGCTCCTCCCCTGCAGCGCCTGCAGGTTTAGGCTAGAGGTAAGTTAAATGGATCAAAGAAGCTGGACCACTAAAAGCTAAAATCAAAACGTTTCCCACAAGAAGAAATCTTTATAGGATTAATTTATGGAAGCCCAAAAGGGCCATGATTAGAGATTGTAAACAGGTAATATTTCTGTTGTAAATAGAAAACTCCAACTTACATTATTAGTAAATATTAAATACATATTTTACTTCATGGCCATTTATTTCTCACTGTACAAATCAATTTTTTTCTTGCATAAAAAAAGTAAGTCATTATGACTGACTTGGATTTATGAATGCGATCTGCAGCTGACTTTTGCACCATTTTAAATGAATGTCTTTAGGCAAAAATTTTCCAAATATTTGATGCAATGTTTTATTGGAATCATAACATCGATTGATCAATTACTCCAATTTCTAAATAAACTACATATTAGATATAAGGGTTCACAGGTTACTAAGTGGTAGGAGTATGATGCTCATAGGAAAAAAAAACTCTTCTGGTTTTCAAAACTAGAGGGAAATGATAAATATCTCCATTTAATCTGAGGAAATCAGGTGGCAAACATATTAAAAAAAACGCACACAAAAAAACAAACACTGGAAGAATGTTTATGTTCTGAAAGGCCAAGCAAGAGCCCAAAATAAACAGAGAATCTTTGGATCTGTAACACCGCATATTTAGAAACATTATTACATTGAGCTTCGGTTTTAAGAAGTGCATGGTGGATTTTTCTTAACAATTCCAATGATTTCTGCATCTAAATTCTCCAATTCTCCATAAACAGCTGGATGTCATCTCAAAGTCACAAAAAGGCTTCCCTCACCATTTGATCTCCTGTATGGAGGACTTCTAACATTCCTCATATTGGCGGTGAATATTTAACTTTTAATTTTTATTTGTGCTTTGCAGTTTGTAAAGAAATTTCAGATCCTTTGCTTCAGTGGAATATTTAGCTTTTGTTAATCTGACTACAAAGTTTGATTTGGTAGTCGATGTATTGGAAAAACAAAAAAAACAACAGTTAATGTGATATTCGTGCCATGGGAATAAAGGTAAATAAGCAACTAAATTACATGACTTTGATAGATTTAGAAAAAAATATATTAATTTTAAAGTTCCTAAACATGACTTTTTTTATTGTAGTTTGGGATTAGTGGATTGATAACTAAATACTGCTTCACCTTATTTATATCCGTTTTGAAAAAGAGGAACAGAAGCATTTTGTAATGATCACCACAAGACGTCAGAATGTTATTACAGTAAATAATATTACAAAAATTATTACAAAATACATCAGGGATGTTGCTACACAAGGCAACTTTAAAAAAAATGCACTTTTAGTCACATTTTGAAATCCCAAATTCATACAATATTACATTAAGCAGTTGTAGGATCCCCTGAGGGCTGTGGACAAGCAATGCTTTAATTCAGTGTCAGAGTGACAATATGCAAAGGACTGCCTGCTGACTTTGAAACAAAAGTTTGTTTTAGTGTTTATTTATGGATAACCTTTTGCTTTTGAATACTATATATCCCCCTCCAATTTTATGTTTTTGAAAAAATTAACAGTGTACGAGTCACTAAAAGGAAGGTTTGAGTGAAAATACAAACAAAAGAAAAACTATAGAGTGAATTTATTCAATTATTGTTGTAATGAAAGAAAATGTTTTTTTTTCAAATTGAAATCTGAAAAAACAAATATAAAAATAGATCAGGAATGAACCTTTGAAAGATGTCTTAAAAATAAAATAAAAAGTCTTTGAGGGTAAATTTTTAGTTTTCTCAGATTTAGTTTTTCAAACTATTTCTTTTCTTTTTTTTTTTTTTTTAAGATTTTACATTTTCACATTTTTGTTTTTCAGAAGAGTTTATCAGATCACCTTCCCCTCACATCTGGGTGCGGGCTTTCTTCCGAAGGGAGGACACTGTGGACGTTAGCAACCACACTTTTATTGGTAAATGTTTGCGTCACTGTATTTGGCTTTAGGTGAAGAGAAAGTGATCTGTGAAACGAAACTTAAAAAGAATGCAATCCATAAAACTAAACCAAAAAGAAAATTTGGGGGGGGGATATATCTTTAGACATACACTCACCGGCCACTTTATTAGGTACACCTGTCCAACTGCTCGTTAACACTTAATTTCTAAGCAGCCAATCACATGGCAGCAACTCAGTGCATTTAGGCATGTAGACATGGTCAAGACAATCTCCTGCAGTTCAAACCGAGCATCAGTATGGGGAAGAAAGGTGATTTGAGTGACTTTGAACGTGGCATGATTGTTGGTGCCAGAAGGGCTGGTCTGAGTATTTCAGAAACTGCTGCTCTACTGGGATTTTCACGCACAACCATCTCTAGGGTTTACAGAGAATGGTTCCGAAAAAGAAAAAACATCCAGTGAGCGGCAGTTCTGTGGGCGGAAATGCCTTGTTGATGCCAGAGGAGAATGGCCAGACTGGTTGGAGCTGATAGAAGGGCAACAGTGACTCAAATAACCACCCGTTACAACCAAGGTGGGCAGAAGAGCATCTCTGAACGCACAGTACGTCGAACTTTGAGGCAGATGGGCTACAGCAGCAGAAGACCACACCGGGTGCCACTCCTTTCAGCTAAGAACAGGAAACTGCTCATCGAAATTGGACAATAGAAGATTGGAAAAACGTTGCCTGGTCTGATGAGTCTCGATTTCTGCTGCGACATTCGGATGGTAGGGTCAGAATTTGGCGTCTACAACATGAAAGCATGGATCCATCCTGCCTTGTATCAACGGTTCAGGCAGGTGGTGGTGGTGTCATGGTGTGGGGAATATTTTCTTGGCACTCTTTGGGCCCCTTGGTACCAATTGAGCATCGTTGCAACGCCACAGCCTACCTGATTATTGTTGCTGACCATGTCCATCCCTTTATGACCACAATGTACCCAACTTCTGATGGCTACTTTCAGCAGGATAATGCGCCATGTCATAAAGCTGGAATCATCTCAGACTGGTTTCTTGAACATGACAATGAGTTCACTGTACTCAAATGGCCTCCGCAGTCACCAGATCTCAATCCAATAGAGCATCTTTGGGATGTGGTGGAACGGGAGATTCGCATCATGGATGTGCAGCCGACAAATCTGCGGCAACTGTGTGATGCCATCATGTCAATATGGACCAAACTCCCTGAGGAATGCTTCCAGCACCTTGTTGAATCTATGCCACGAAGAATTGAGGCAGTTCTGAAGGCAAAAGGGGGTCCAACCCGTTACTAGCATGGGGTACCTAATAAAGTGGCCGGTGAGTGTATAATAAACCTTATAAATAGTTTGTCTGAAAAAAATAGATTGAAAAAAAGAAATATAAAAAAGGAATTTGGAAAAAAAATGAAAATGTAAATCTGAGAAAACAAAGTTTTCTTTTTAGAAAAATCTTTTTAGATAAAAAAAAAAAAGTCAAAGATTTATTTCTGGATTGCATTTTCTTTTCAAATTACCATTAAGAAAATATGTTCTTTGCTTACAACAACAAAGGAGCAAAATACTCAGTAGAAATCCCACATCTTACCCCCACAGAGCATGAAGAGATTCTCAAATCCCCGCTCACACATGGTGGTGGCTGCCACGCTGGCTATCCTTTCATCTTCGTCATAAACAATGATGATCTTTCCCAAAGCGTTTTTCTGCAGACTAGTTAAGATATTAAATAGCTAGTAACATAAAAAAGGGAAGAAAACAACAATAACCAAACAAGCTGTAGCGTTTTTCAAAAGGATACATATTCCAGCACTTCTTTGGTGTACGGATTCATGGTTCTGGACAGCATGGCCATGGGGAAACTGTGAGCTGTGTCAAAGATGAATGGGTAAAGCATTAGGGCTTTATGACAGGTTTGATAAGCAGACATTTTTCTTACACCACCCACCGCTAATGATGTGGCAGGAGTCATACTGATCGCGCTCACGCACGTCCAGCAGCAGGTAGGGGCAGTCTGGGTAGGGCGTCTCTGTGGGTATGGGGCTGGAAACAGACTCTGCTTTCTGCTGAGGCTCCTCTTCCATGTTCAGCTCTCCCACTCCATTAATAACACTGGGCAGAAACCATACAGTCAGAGGCTCTTTAGCCTCACAGCATTTTGTTACATGCAGAAACGCGGCAACTTGAATCAAATAAATGTGTGATTAACAGGTTTCTGGGAGGACAGGCTGAAACAGTGCTTTGATTACGCATTTAGAACAGGAACCAGAGGTGAGGGCTGTGCTCCACTGGTGTGGGGGACCCTGTTAGCTGAAACTACATGCTGCTTCTTTAGCAGGGATAGGAAACACTGGTCAGGGTTAAAATGAGAGATTAAAGGTATAGTCGAGAATTTTTGAAAAGACCCACCCTGCACATGAACAACTTTGTACCCTCTCCTGAGAGGGAACGCCTATTAAATAATTGCGAGAGCCTGCATGAGCCCATTTCTCCTTGTGTTCGCTCTGTTTAAAAGTTGCTTTTTGCATCGCTCATACAAGCTTACTTTCCAAAAGAAGATTTGCAATTTTTCCACTATGTCAGACTCACATAGTGAGAATGGGGACGAGCACGTAGGACGGCCTTACGTAAACATAATCAGAATGATTGACAATTAGGAGGACCACTTATTTTGATGAACCAGCTGGAAAAGACAATCCTCCACTATATCTTTACTTATGCTACTTGATGTGGGAGAAGGTCCTTAAATAAAAATTAGCTGTATGTCTAGCAGGAGAACAGCGCTAAACATGCAGCCAGAGCAGCAAGGGGTTGAATTAGATCAGACTATATTCAGTTGCTGAAGCAAACAGCCATAAAGCCAGCAGGACATGAGTAGCAGTAAAAATAAGGCTCACGTGTGGATAATACAGTTGTCCATATATGCATCATTAAATACAGCTGACATAAAGCTGGTATTAATGTTAAATTTAAGGAAATACAATAAACATAAATACCCAATTTCTCTGGTAGAAACAGAGAATTTTAAATTTAAGGTTTAATTCTGCGTGTGTATTTTTTTCAGACTGCATCCCACGACTGGATAACATTTATATAATGCCACCAGAGGGCACTGTTTTGAGTGTGCAGACAGGAGTAGTGGAGTGCCTTTTGATGGAACATGCCACCCACCCCCACATGCTCCACACAAAGTGACAGTAACAGAAGTGCTCTGCCATCATGCAGGCTCAGTCAGCCACCGTCTCCAAGGTGTCAGATAGAGTTACACTCCTGAGACCCACTTTCTAGGTGAGGCAGGAAGACATACAGGTGAGAAAGCGCAGCTTTTGAGAAGCGACTGAGATGGGTCATTGTGAAATTCAGTTGTTGGGAAGGGCAATGCCCTGTGGGACAAAAATGAGACGTTGTTCTGCAGACAAGGTGTAGAGTTTATGGAGGCTTTAAAGGAAGACAACATGTTAGGCTGAGTGTATGGAGTGAAGTTTGTTCCATTATGTAACAAGCAAGAACAAAAAACAACCCACCCCCCCCAAAGAAAATTATTTGGTTAGCATTTTGTGAATTTAAATTCTTTTAAAAAGAGAACGCAAACCAGAAATAAAAATTTTAAAGAAATGTTTCAATCAAACCAAAAATACTTTCAGAGCAAGTTGGCTGTTTTTTTCTTTATTTTTTTACAGATTTGTTTTTTTAATCATTAATATATATTGTGAACTATGTTTTTTTCAGGCTTTTGTTTGTTATCATTATGAAATAATGTAAAACAAAATTTGAAAAAATAGGCGAAAACAGGCAACGAAATGTTGGGCATGCGCAGTAATATTTATACAACAACCAAACCGGAAAATGGCCATGCGGGTCCATTTTCATGGTTCAGTCAAATTGAGGTGATGAACTATGTCGTCTATATTGCTCTGTTCTTCCTGGAGATATTCCAGAAGAAGATGATTCTGTTGTAAGCCCGACAGCAGGGCGAGTAGCATGAGCAGCAACCATTCAACACAGTACGGCGCCATTGTTGTTGTGATACTGTGTCGCGCATGCGTGTTTAGAGGCGACGCTATGACGCATGCGTGTAAAAAAAAAAATGCGGTCAGACCTTAAAGATGGAAACGCGAAAACGGCGTTTCAAAATCTTCCCACTCTGAAGGCTGAATAAAAAAAGGATCGTTTACAGACCCCGAAACGCCGGCTTCGTATGGATGAGAGGCTGGTTTGGTGAAAAATTTGTGCGTTTAGGCCAGGGTTTGACTTCGTGTGGACGGAGCCTTAAGCTTTTCTTTTTGGCCCATAATAGAATACTTTAATTGTATTAAAGCACCATTGTCTAGCTTTTAGCCATTTGGTGAGTGTGAGTTAAACCTGTTACTTCCAGGTTCAGTGCCACTGGAAGAAACTGGTTTCATTACACAATCCCCAAATGAACCAGCATCCCTTTGTGTTTAGGAATCTGATAGCAGATGGATTAGCAGATTGAGACGTTGTGGAGTTCCCTGGAATTTCTGAATTTAATATCTCTGATTTTGTAATTTGGACCAAATCATTCAGCCATACTCCTAATCCACAATGATAGTCACCCTGCATAGACCTATAGGGGCCGGATCTATCAAAGGTTTGCGTGTATAAAAACGTGAGCCATTTCACTGCGCACGCTAAAAAATGTACAAACTGATCTATCAACAGCGTGCTAAAAGGATTTGGTCTTTAAAACGTGCTAAATAGCGCCTCTTATCCATTTAGTACTTTTTCTGCAATGAATATGCAATATGGGGCGTTTACACGCAAAAGTGCGTCTTTTGGGAGGAGAACATGTAAATATATTAATTTAGCACTCGCAAAGTGATTTATCAAACCTGAAAGCAATTTTGCTAACGGTATCTGACTCTATATTTAACATGTTTCAAAAGAAGGTGCAAATAGTCTGTATGCGTAATTGCGCACACATGGCAGCGGTTATTGTCGCAAGAAGGAGACATCGAAATGAAGCAAGGAGACGAAGAGAACGCATTTTTTCACTCCGTGTGAATATTTTTGGAATGAACGAGGAAACGATCATCAAAACATATCGTTTATCCAGCATTGCCATTTTGGAGCTGTTGGGGGAACTCCGAATGGATTTGGAGCCAGCCACAAGGAGGACCCACGCAATACCAGATAACACAAAACTCCTTGCAACATTGCACTTTTTTGCATCTGGGTCATTCCAGCGTACGGCTGCAGCGAGAGCTGGGATCTCCCAATCTCGTTTTTCAGAAGTGCTGTCCGACGTTCTAAATGCCATGTCGCCCTGACGCCCTAACGGAGAACCCCGACCTCCCCCCTGCGCCTGTAGAGCAACATGCCAATGCTGCGGGGATGCGTACGCGCAGTAATCCACAGTCACTTCTTGTGAGCCATTTGGTACGTGCATTTTTCTACAGGCCAATACAAAACACCTTTTTTTTTTTGGAGGGGGTGGGGGTGTCACTGTAAGATTAACATTTCTTAATGCACTAGTTTGTACAAACTACAAACTACTTTGCCGCAAACCTCCAACAGTTTTGCACCTGCAACCAGTTACGCAATCCCTCTTGTTAAATCACCCACAAACCATGGTTCAACCCCACACGCAAAATTCCAGTTTGCGAGCGCAAATTACTGCACGCAAAATTGGATCTTGATAAATCCGGCCCTAAGTGTCCATTACAGCTTTTTGCCATGTTTCTTGTTACCTGAGGAGTGTTGACCTGGCCGTTTGGCAGTTATCCATGCCATCTCCTGCATAAAGTCGGTCTGACAGAGGCAGCTGGAGTGATGAGCCACTGACACGTTCACATTCACCTTCCAGGCCTGCCTCCGAGATGATTGACAGACCATCTGCAAAATCATTCAAAACGTTACAGCACTGTTACCAACTCAAAGATATTTACTGTTGACATGAGACGTTACCTTGTGGGGTGTTAGTGCGTTCGTCATCTACCTCGCAATAACTCCCGTCTGAAAAAGAAGCGACTTGAAGGATCTGGGTGGAAATCGTGAGAAAGAATGCTACTTAAAGGAATCTGAGAGGAAAAAAAAAGCTATACAGCGCCATCTGTCTGCAGCTCATAACTCATTCAGTAAAGACAAGAATCCAGTTTTGTTTGCACTGCCTTACTTCAGTCGCCAAACTCTGACAGTTTTGTGAGCTAGCAGAGTTTTAACTGATGCTTACCAACTGTGCAAAAGTTGTCACCTTTAAGCGTTTGAAGATTTCCCCTTTTCGATACCTGTAGTCTTAAAGAAATAAAACACATACACGACTTTAGTCCAATAAGTCATACAACCTTTATGACTCAATGTTAAGGGGCCCAGTTAACTTTACCAACTTCTACACCATAAGCTCACTCTGGATGCATACAAAATTAATAAACTTTTGATTATTTAGTAACTAGCTTCCCTAATCTTGTAATAAACTTAATTGTTTAGAGTATTAACCTGAAGAAAACCATATGACCAGAGGTATAATACTGCGTATGTATGCAACAAGGAGGTAATGGAGCTTAGCAAATCAAGCAGAGGCGTGAAAAGAAAGAGGAGAGGTCCAAGTAAAAGTGTGAAAAATTGGTGCAAATGCTGGATGCAAATAAAAAAAATATGCTAAGACACAAGTAGTGCGTAAACTACAATATGAACACTGGTGTTCACTGAGGAAGGAACTAAAGGGTCAGTATACATTCAGGTAGTTAGGTTTTCTTTTGAACTCATCCATCCGTCCATCCATCCATCTTCTCCCGCTTATTACATCGGGGTCGAGATGGGGCTGGTGTCTATCTCCAGCAGTCTAAGGGCGAGGCGGGGTACACGTTGGACAGGTTGCCAGTATGTCGCAGGGGAACACAGAGACACACACACACTAACACCGAAGGATAATTATGAGATGCCAGTTAGCCTAATGCTACGTTCATACTGAATGAGATTTGAGCAGCAAAGAAGCGTCTGCTGCTTAATTTCTGATGCTTGTATACGTCTGATGCTTCTGCTGCTTCTGTGTTCAATGGCAGAGAGCGGCGTTTTCTATATTTGCTATGATCACTGGGTAAAAGTAGTTTTAATAACTTTTTAAGTGAGAAAGTCCACCTCAAAACATTGTCTGTGCAGTCAGTTCAAAAAGATTACGATCCTGCCTTAAAATATTATTTTACTGGCGGTGCGCTGTCACTGGGAATCCCCAGCAGCAGCTGCCTCAGACCCGGTCGCTTTTTGGATGTTTTTGTGGCGGCTGGACGTAAATGTCAGTGTTTTTCAGGTATGTGGTACAAACTGCACACACCAGAATAATGTTAGCAAACATATTTTGCTGGCCGGCTTCAAAATTTTAAGTTAATTTAGGCATTAATAAACAGCCTGATCCTGAACGTGGAGAAGGCGAAGGAAAAGTCGACTTCAGTAAGAATCAGCCTAACCGCGTTCCACTGCTATTCAAGAGTTCAGCTATACAGGTGGTCGGCAGCACCAAATTCCTAGGGGTGAACATCACAGACAACCTCACCTGGACTGTTAACACCACCTCACTGGTCAAAACTCCACAGAAGCGCTTTTAATTCCTGCAGAGGATAAGGAGAGCCCACCTGCCCCCACCCATCCTCCCCACCTTCTACAGAAGCACCATAGAGAGCGTTCTGACCAGCTGTCTCACTGTGTGGTGTGGAGGCTGCAGCGCCTCAGACTGGAAGAAAGTGAGGAGAGTGGTGAGAACAGCAGAGAAGATCATCAGGGCTCCATAGGTTTGGCTATCACAACCACCATGCAGCCCCATTTGAAATGAATAAATGCAAAACACATTAGTATTTTTGTGTTCTGACTTAAAATGAGCATTTCTTTTGTTTTGTCAAGTGGCCATGCCTTTTGCTGCATTGCATCACTGTTCTGACTGTTCTGAGGTGCAACTGTGTGTATGCATGGTTGTGTGTCTCTGCGTTACCCTTTAACAGACTGGTGACCTGTCCAGGGTGTACTCCCAGCCAAACTAACGAATTATCCACTAATCTTAAGGCTGTAAAATTGATGGATGCTTGAGTGAGTACTGCCAGCAGATGGCCATGGCGTGACACAATGTTTGTGTCTGCTGATCATATCCTTTGCAAAAATTCTATTTAGGCTCAAAAAGGACAGAGTAAAACTTGAGGCGAAATGCTTGCCGTATACTGCGATGTTTTAACATGAACACATGTTTTTTTATTGTATTAATCTTTGACTGGGCCCCTTTAAGCTAGCCTACTGCCTTTATGGTAATGGGTGAAATACTGATAACTTCTGTCATTAAATCCTCTCAGAATTTTTTTTTTTACTTCTTTTTTCTTCTCTTTTAGTTGTAACAAGGTTTCTTACTTTTTCTAATCTCCTCCAGCCTTTCCATGTACTTCGTTCTGCTGCATCCTAAAAGTGACAAAGAAGAAATTAATATTTCTGAGACCAAAAGATGACATAAATCTTCTCTAGGAAAAAAGTGCGGCCTCTCATTCTAATCCAGGATTTTATTCATCAGGCCGTGATGAAAATCATCTGGTCTTTACCACAAAGATCTGAACAAAAGACCAAAGAACACAACAAATCCACTACCTCCTATTCTTCAAATAACTTATGAAGTAGAAAACTTGGTGAAAAGTAAAGCACATTCTGGATGCTGTAACAGCAAGCTGTAGCTAAAAAAAATACCAGATTTATTGGATTTATTGATTAATAGCAGCTGTGGCATCTGTTTAGAAGCAATCTGATGGTCTGGAGCTAAAGCTGTGCTAACTCAACACCAAGCAGATGACATTAGAAACAACAAACAATGAAACTGCTGTTGCTGCCTAGCCAACTTGGAAAAGGATATAAGACCATTACAAATAACAAAATTTTAATAATTCTAGGCTGAATAAGGCAAGTAGAATTGGACATTTAAGATGGCCGCCGTTGTCCAGGAATGGATGTCTGAAAACAAATTTACTGTAAAGATTTGATGCAAATATATATATATATATATATATATATATATATATATATATATATATATATATATATATATATATATAGTATGCAACTTTGGATGAATTACACTGACAGGATGTCAACCTAAAGACTTCGGAGCTGATGGAGAGGTGGTAATGTGGGCTAGTTATGGGCTTTAGTACGCAGGGAATTATCTTCCATTGTTGTTGCAACAAAATCACAAGTTTTGGAAAAATAAATCCTAATCCAAAAAATTATTTTATTTGCAGCTGCTTCATACAAATAAATAGTAAAAAAAAAAAAAAAAAAAAAAAAAAAAGCAAATATTGTGATTTCTGAATTTTTTTTTTTAGATTATGTCTGTCAAAGTGGACATGCATCTATGATGACAGTTTCAGACCCCTCCATGATTTCTAAGTGGGAGCACTTGCAAAATAATACGGTGCTGAAATACACATCTTCCTCACTCTATTAATAAAACCTGTATAATTTATCTAAAAAAAATCTGTTTTTTAGACATACAGAGCCAAACTGATGGCGAGATGGAGCGGGGACCCCCTAATTATATATATTGTATGAAATCGTGTATCAAACTGGTCCTATAGTCACTCTATTACATATGGAGTAATGCCGCGGTTCTCAAAGTGTGTGGCGCGACCCATGGGGAATTGAGACGTGACAGGTGGGGCGCGCCAAGTTCCGGTGTGTGTGTGTGTGTGTGTGTGTGTGTGTGACTATAAATGTAGAATGTGTGAGAGCAAACTGTCCTTATAGCTGTATGTTGCCGCTTTTTAGACCAATCAAACCCACAAAGTAATCATTACTAGCCTACATGCAGTCTAATTAAAAGAACATTAGATATGAGAAAAATTTCCCCTGGAACTGAAGTGCCAAAATAATTATTGACGTGACGTCGGCATATTATTTGTAACAGAATAAACTTTCGCGCCCCAGTGTTGCCAACTCAGCGACTTTGTCGCTATATTTCAGACCCCTCCAGCGACTCTTTTTCAAAAAAAAAAATCTAGCGCCTTTTGGAGACTCTTACGTGAAAGCACGTATCGTTCCTTTTCTTGTCCTCCAGCGGCAGGTGCTGCCGTGGGGCGCCTCCCCCGTCCCAACCCCGTTCTCCCCCGCTATTGCAGGAGTCCCTATCAGCGCTGCAGTCAGAGCAGAGACACAGCATGTTTAACTTTTGCGTCCAGACTGCAAATAAAGCGCACATGCGCCGGGATTGACGGCGCAGGTTGATCATAAATAACTGAATTTGAAATATTTTATCTTAAATAAATAACGGCGTTTGATTCACACAGCCACATGTTCATGTTTCTGGTTAGGAGTGGAGAGCGAGTATCCACTCATCGGGCAGAGAGCTGTGTGCATTCTTCTTCCCTTTGCCACATCATATCTCTGTGAGATGGGCTTTTCAGCTGCTGCTTCAATGAAAACAAAATACAGATCTCAGCAGAACATTGAGCATGACTTGAGAGTGGCAGTATCAAGCCTGCAACCCCGTTTTGAGAAACTGCAATGCAAAACAGGCTCATTGCAGCCACTAATGCAGGGATAAATAGACCTGTCTTGCCAGATGGATTTCACTTCTTTTCTTTTATTAACAGATTGCAGAGTGGCACTTTAATTTTTTCTATCTTTGAGCTTGATACAAATTTTGACACAGCTGCATTTTTATTTTCTTTATTTTTGAGCTTGCTGTTATTTGATGTAGATTTGTATTTAGATACTACTTGTTACTTCAATAAAATTGGAACATTTTAAGATTGTTGAATATTTCATTAGCATTGTGTTGGGGCGATGGGGACAGGCGGGGCTTGAAAATTCCCCCTTGTCCAAAGTGGGGAATGACAGAAAAAGTTTGAGAACCACTGGAGTAATGTAACGAAAGTAATTTCTCCCTGGGATTATTAAAGCATTTCTGATTCGGATTCCTGGTTAATGGGACCTGTGTGTCTCTGAATGTGTGCATTGATGACTGAGAGTCATCTTCTGCCTCCATTTATCTGTTTAGTACAGTGTGTTGAATTCATGTTTTTGTGTATTTAAAGACATTTCAATTAGTGGAAAAAAATTGCAGGAGAATGTTGAAGACCTGCGCTTTATAGAATAACTAAATAAAAGATGGCCTAGTCAAAGTCCAGTGTTAACACACATAAAACCTGCTGCAATGGGACCTTGAAAGAGCAAACCTCTGCCAGAGAGAGAGAACCAGATGTGGTTTACACTGATTTATCATTATGATTTTATGTTCCACTAAAACACTGAGCACGGATTCTGCTTTGTTATGGTCAGAGGGGAATCATTTAGAAGCTTTGAAATAATAAGATTTTCACTTTTTCCTTCCGCAGCATCGATATAGTTCAGAGAAAAGGCATTCTGCTTTGCAGCAAGTAAACCTACCTGTGTCCAGCTTCGTTTTGATGTGGTCATACTTTGTATTTCTGGGTATTCTTTTCTTCATGTACTGTATGAAAGAAAGAAACGTTGTTTTTATTTACCCATTCATTTATATTCTGACTAGCTACAAATCCTAACGGATTATTTTCCACGGAAATCCAACATTTTAACAGTAAGCTTCCCCGGGTTGATATGGAAACATAACCTCGCTAACTTGTTAGCATCCTTGCCTAGCTACATTGTCTATTTCTGCGTGCCGTTATATTGCAGGGTTGGAGCATATAAAGCAGAGCTTAGACTGCCAATTCTATGCTTTTGCTGTATCGAAAGGCAATAATCTCCGATTTACCTCGTCTTTACCGATGCCCCGCGTCAACGACATCTTTTCAAATCCCAATACTAAACAGCTGCTTCCTCGTTTAGTAAGGCCGACGCTGATACGCTGCTTCCTTTCAAGAAGCCAATTAGAGAAGCCGAATCTGCGTCGTTTACCACCCTCAAGGGTCGAAACAGTTGCTAGGCAGCGAAAGACGCCCCCTCCCACTTCATGTCGTGCGGCATTCAGGTAGCATCGGTCTATAGGAGTCATAGGTTACGTACAGTAGGATTTAAAACTTTCATTAATATTTAATGGCTTTGTTTTATTTTGACTTTGTTGATCACAAAAAAAATTTTATTTATTTATTTTTATTTGAAGAGTGGTGTCCACCCCTATTTATTTCCCTCTAATATAGATGATGGCAACAGTAATACTCTCAGCTGGAATATTCAAAACATTCTAATTTTTTATATATTAACAATTGTTTGACAACAAATACACTGCGGTTAATTATGCACATCAATATACTAACATTAAAGATGATAAGTACAAAATTAAAGCAGAAATAGATTTTGTGTTTTATGTGGTAAAGAGAAAATGATGCGTCTCTGCAAGTCATCTAGGAGTCTTCAGTGAAATCATAAATATATAACTATTAAATTAAAACGTATTAATCAATTTATGTAGATATTAGTATTTGTAAATATCAATTTTATGCAGAATGATTATTGATGAAAGTAGGTGAGTAATGACAATGGAAAAGATGTTCACCCAAAACTCAAACCTGAAAGAATTTTATCCACTATACGTTTTATCTAGAGAGCAGTGAGCACGGATGTTTGAATATATTTGTCTTTTTGTTAGTAAAGGCTATAGGAAAGTATAGTTTGTCTTTATTTAGAAAATATGGATGTTTTGCTCGTTAATTTTCCTGTTGGATCAGTATATTAGTATATCTGATATATTATATATTATATCAGTATTGACCGTGAGTTTTTGGTGCCCATACCGGCCACCCCTCAGTGTTCATTCATTATTGCCTGGCCATCCTTATAAAAAATTTTCTGGCTACGCTTCTGCTAATAAAAGACGAGAAAGGTCAAAAAGTTGAACACGCGGCACAAAATACCTAAATAAAAGTATCAACATATAATAATGATGTAAAAGTGTTATATGAGCATTTAACAAAGCAGCTCTTTTGAACATTAGTCACAAAATGAAGTAGGACTAAAGAATTTAAGATTACATTTTTGATTTCTTGTGGGACACAAAAAATTCCAACTTTTACATAGATACTCTGAAGGCAACATTTGCACAAACTCACAAACCGGTTGGTTATTTACGAATGGTCGATTACGCAAGAGTTAAAAAAATTATGTAGTACAAATAATAATAAATAAAATAATAAAAATAATCAATATTGATTATACTGGAGCGGGGGTGCCTAATGCGACGTTCAAGACATCGCGGTTCGGAGTTCGATTAGTCAGGTCTGGGGCAGTGACAGTCATGGAGGAGCTGTGCAGCGGGTTTGTTCAAATCCACAAATAACCATAGCTCGCTCAATTATCGGCAAAAATGGCATCTGTTCTGGTGAGTCTACTTATTTAAATGTGTCTTGCCTCCTTTAGGAGTAGTTAGAACAAACACCGACAAGTGTCGCCAGAGGAGGACAGGAAGTTTGATTGCTCAGCCTGAGCTAAGAGGATTTACAGAAACATCTGACCACTTTCTAGTGCACATATTCGCATTTAATTTGGCCAGAAGTAGTTAATCTATTTTAAAAACGTTCAATAGTTATTCCTATACAAACCAGCACAGAGTTATGAGTTATAAATGTTTAACACAGGAAGCGGGAACAGCAGATGGAGGCGGTTTATATTTAGTAAGACAGTGACGAGTTGAACTGAGCTGCAGATGTTAAGATCAATGAAAGTTGTTTTATTTATACGTTTTACATTAAACAGTCTAATGTGATGCAACATGATAAAAACTATTAATGTTATTGACCTGGTGGTAATGAGTTGTGACAATTAAAAACAAAAACAGAAAAGGTTTAATCCTAAGAGAACCAATCACAGCATGATGCAACCACCACCGTGTTTCTATGGTGATGAACATGTAATGTTGTAGAATCCTTTCCACCTCAATACTAAATCCAGATTTAATTGCACAAACTTGCACTAATGGAGGACAAACCATTCTGTCTTTCTGCTTTTTTTACACCTGGGATGGATGTCAGCTTAAAAAAATTTGACGTGTGCATGATTGAAATTGAAATTGATGTGTGTAAGAGGAAAAAGATCTTCAGTAAATAATTTTTTCTGTCTTTTAAATTTGTCTTTGCAGGAGGATCCAACTCTGGAGAGACACTTCAAGGGACACAAAGACGCCGTCACCTGTGCAGACTTTAATCCAAACCAAAAGCAGCTGGGTAATTCCTAACACTCTGTAAACGCTTGTATCTTCACTATATTAAAGTTCACTGACTGCAGCCATGACCTCTGGGATGTAAAATACCTTTGCATACGTATATGAGGAGGTTGATGCTCAAACTGAATTGCTGCTCAGTGAAACAAATTATATTAAAGTACATTATCCGATAGAACATTATAACTGCTTTATTCTTTGGTCTTTCTGGGTCAAAAGGACAGAATATGAAAAAGAAGATAAACAGACTAGAATAGAACTTTATTGATCTCACAATGGAGAAATTCACTTGTGGCAGTGGCTTTTATAAAAAAACAGAAGGAAGGAGGAAAAGGTGCATATAGTATATATACATATAGTCAGAGATGGCAAAAGTACTCACTTTCTGTACTTGAGTAAAAGTACAGATACTTGTGTTAAAAAATACTCTGGTAAAAGTGGAAGTACTGATTAAACTTCTTTACTCAAGTAAAAGTAACAAAGTACAGGCTTGTAAATTTACTTAAAGTATAAAAGTAAAAGTAGAAACCACTTTTTTCATGCCTACATTTTAAATGGATGTCTGCCAATAGGACTAGATCTCCGTTGTGTTAATTTTCAATCATCTGGTCGTCCATACTACTATGCTAACGCCACCGCCACCAAGCTGCAATGATTTGCTGTGAATGAATACCGCCGAATCTGTCGATTCATCTTGTAGTGGTGCGTCAAATGCAACATAGATTCCCATCCAATTAGATTGAATTTGGTATTGATGACGTGAAAAATAATAACGGTAACTCAATTCAATTCAATTCAATTCAGTTTATTTATATAGCGCCAAATTCACAACACATGTCATCTCAAGGCACTTTACAGTTCAACCAGATCATACAGTCAAATTGATACAAAGTTTTCTATCTAAGGAAAACCAGTTGATTGCATTGACTCATTGACTCAAATACAATCCCCCACACTAAGCATGCTTGTAGCGACAGTGGAGAGGAAAAACTCCCTTTTAACAGGAAGAAACCTCCAGCAGAACCAGGCTCAGTGTGAGCGGCCATCTGCTGAGGCCGACTGGGGTTCAAGGAGACAGAAACAGAGATACAAAAAGCAGCTGTAAAAGGCGGCCCCGTCCAGGAAACACACAGCCAGGCAGACGAGCTCCAAGGCAGCTCCCATGCCAGAGGACGAAGAGAGCACATCCACTCAGTCACGGCCAGAGAAACAGGACCACACTGGAAAACAGGCCGATCTCCAACATCTATAAACAAGGGTGTTGATGGAAGCAGCACAGCTGATGTTTCTTTCCAGGATGACGTCACAGCCAAACAGGAACAGACGAGGCAAAGCTACTCTGAGGAAAAGCAGAGAGAGCAGAAGGTTAGAGATTGAACTAACAGATTCTGCAGAATAGGAGAACAGAGAGAGAATGAAGCAGAATGATGAAATGGGGGTCCCTATGTCCTCCAAAAGTCTAAGCCTATAGCAGCATAACTATAGAGATAGCTCAGGATAACCTGAGCCACCCTAACTATAAGCTTTATCAAAAAGGAAAGTTTTAAGCCTAGCCTTAAAAGTAGACAGGGTGTCTGCCTCACGGACTAAAACTGGTAGTTGGTTCCACAGGAGAGGAGCCTGATAACTAAAAGATCTGCCTCCCATTCTACTTTTAGAAATTCTAGGAACCACTAGTAAACCTGCAGATTGAGAGCGAAGTGCTCTGTTAGGAACATAAGGAACAATCAGATCTCTGATATAAGATGGTGCTTGGCCATTTAAGGCTTTATATGTGAGAAGGAGGATTTTAAATTCTATTCTTGATTTAACAGGAAGCCAATGAAGAGAAGCCAGGATAGGCGAGATATGATCTCTCTTTTTAATTTTCATCAGAACCCTGGCTGCAGCATTTTGGATCAGCTGAAGGCTTTTAACTACAGTTTGTGGACTTCCTGATAGTAAAGAATTACAATAGTCCAGCCTTGAAGTAACAAATGCATGGACTAGTTTCTCAGCATCACCCCTGGACAGGATATTTCTAATTTTTGCAATGTTCCTCAGATGAAAGAAGGAAATTCTAGAAACCTCTTTGATATGGGATTTAAATGACAGGTCCTGATCAAAAATAACACCAAGATTTTTTACTTTATTATCTGAAATCAGTTTAATCCCATCCAAATGAAGTGACTGGCTAATCAGTTTCTTTTTCAGAGACTCTGGTCCAAAGACTATAACTTCTGTTTTATCTGCATTCAGAAGCAGAAAGTTAAGAGTCATCCAGGTTTTTATGTCTTCAAGACATGCCTGTAATCTATGTAATGGGTTAGCTTCATCTGGATTTATAGACAGATATAGCTGGGTATCATCAGCATAACAGTGGAAATTAATCCCATGCTGTCTAATAATTCTACCAATTGGGAGCATGTATAAAGTAAAGAGAATTGGTCCTAGCACTGATCCCTGTGGTACTCCACAGGTAACCTTTGAGCGTGTTGAAGATCTATCATTAACATGAACAAACTGAATTCGATCAGATAGATAAGATTTAAACCAGTCTAGTGCTGTTCCTTTAATTCCAACAAAATATTCAAGTCTTTCTAAAAGAATATTATGGTCAACTGTATCAAATGCAGCACTAAGATCCAACAGGACGAGCACAGATACAAGTCCATTATCTGAGGCCATGAGAATATCATTAGTGACTTTCACCAGAGCTGTTTCAGTGCTATGATGAGCTCTAAAGCCAGACTGAAACTCTTCAAAAAGTTCATTATGGTGTAAGTGATCGCAAACTTGTTTGGCAACTACTTTCTCAAGAATTTTGGATAAGAAAGGAAGATTGGATATAGGTCTATAATTGACCAAGTCATCTGGGTCAAGAGACGGTTTCTTAAGCAGAGGTTTAATTACAGCAACCTTAAAAGCTTTAGGTACATATCCCTGTAACAGAGATAGATTAATCACATCTAAAATGGAGGAGGAGATCAAAGGGAATACCTCCTTAAATAACCTGGTTGGAACTGGATCTAACATACAAGTTGAAGGCTTAGATGAAGACAATAATTTTGCTAATTCAGAGAGTTCAACTGGATCAAAGCAGTCTAAACCCGGTTCAGATTCCATGACTACCTCAGGTACAATCGCGGATAGAGGAGTGCTTATGATCTTATTTTTAATAAGATCAATCTTATTTATAAAGAATCCCATAAAATCATTGCTGCTAAGAGCAGGTGGAATGGACGGTTCAACAGAGCTATGGCTCTGGGTGAGTTTGGCAACTGTATTAAAAAGAAATCTAGGATTATTCTTATTCTCCTCTATTAATGAGGAGAAGTATGCTGCTCTTGCTTTACAAAGGGTCCTCTTATACAGCAGTAAACCATTTTTCCAGACTAGGAAGGACTCTCGCAGGCCTGTGGAGCGATATTTTCTCTCCAGTTTCCTAGCATTTTGCTTCAAAGTACGCAGCTCTGCATTAAACCAAGGAGCAAGCTTTCTATTTTTAACGGTTTTCATTTTCAAAGGAGCTGCGTTGTCTAAGGCAATACGCAGAGAACTAGCAACCCCATCAACAAAATCATCAACCTGTGAAGGGGAATAAGCTAAGCTTTTGCACTCTGCAGCACTGCTCAGTGACACAGAGGAGAGAGAAAGTGAAGCAGATTCTTTAAAATTTTTAACTGCACTATCTGATAAAGATCTACTAAAATTGAACCTTCTTTTGGGGGAGGAGAACTCTGTTAAAGCAATCCCGAAGGTCACTAGAAAGTGGTCAGAGAGGACAGGGTTGCTCTATTGAAATGATCCAAAACTAAAGTAACGAGCCAATTTTTAAAAATGTAAGGAGTAGAAAGTACAGATATTTGTGTAAAAATGTAAGGAGTAGAAGTAAAAAGTCGCCATAAAAATAAGTAGTAAAGTAAAGTAAAAATATCAGAAAAATCTACTTGAGTACAGTAACGGAATATTTGTACTTCGTTACTTCCCATCTCTGCATATAGTGCATCCAGATACACTATATTGCCAAAAGTATTTGCTCACCTGCCTTGACTCACATATGAGCTTAAGTGACATCCCGTTCCTAATCCATAGGGTTCAATATGACGTCGGTCCACCCTTTGCAGCTAGAACAGCTTCAACTCTTCTGGGAAGGCTGTCCACAAGGTTTAGGAGTGTGTTTATGGGAATTTTTGACCATTCTTCCAGAAGCGCATTTGTGAGGTCGCACACTGATGTTGGACGAGAAGGCCTGGCTCTCAGTCTCCGCTCTAATTCATCCCAAAGGTGTTCTATCGGGTTGAGGTCAGGACTCTGTGCAGGCCAGTCAAGTTCATCCACACCAGACTCTGTCATCCATGTCTTTATGGACCTTGCTTTGTGCACTGGTGCACAGTCATGTTGGAAGAGGAAGGGGCCAGCTCCAAACTGTTCCCACAAAGTTGGGAGCATGGAATTGTCCAAAATGTCTTGGTATGCTGAAGCATTCAGAGTTCCTTTCACTGGAACTAAGGGGCCAAGCCCAGCTCCTGAAAAACAACCCCACACCATAATCCCCCCTCCACCAAACTTTACACTTGGCACAATGCAGTCAGACAAGTACCGTTCTCCTGGCAACCGCCAAACCCAGACCCGTCCATCAGATTGCCAGATGGAGAAGCGCGATTCGTCACTCCAGAGAACGCGTCTCCACTGCTCTAGAGTCCAGTGGCGGCGTGCTTTACACCACCGCATCCGACGCTTTGCATTGCACTTGGTGATGTATGGCTTGGATGCAGCTGCTCGACCATGGAAACCCATTCCATGAAGCTCTCTGCGCACTGTTCTTGAGCTAATCTGAAGGCCACATGAAGTTTGGAGGTCTGTAGTGATTGACTCTGCAGAAAGTTGGCGACCTCTTCGCACTATGCGCGTCAGCATCCGCTGACCCCGCTCCGTCAGTTTACGTGGCCTACCACTTCGTGGCTGAGTTGCTGTCGTTCCCAAACACTTCCATTTTCTTATAATACAGCTGACAGTTGACTGTGGAATATTTAGGAGCGAGGAAATTTCACGACTGGATTTGTTGCACAGGTGGCATCCTATCACAGTTCCACGCTGGAATTCACTGAGCTCCTGAGAGCGACCCATTCTTTCACAAATGTTTGTAAAAACAGTCTGCATGCCTAGGTGCTTGAATTTATACACCTGTGGCCATGGAAGTGATTGGAACACCTGATTCCAATAATTTGGATGGGTGAGCAAATACTTTTGGCAATATAGTGTATATACAGTGGATGGTAGAAAACAAAGGAGAGATTTAAATCTGTTTTTCTGTTTTCTGTGTTTAAAACCTACATGTTAAAAATTATTTAATAAAAATCCACAATTTCCTTTTTTCCTTCAGATATCCATACCAAAAACAAAATGTATGGTCATTGATTTGGTTTGTAATTAGGGATGCATGATATAATCGGCCCCCTATCAGTATTGGCCTGTATCGGCCTTAAAACTGAATATCGGACATCGGCCACCCCACCGATATTTAACCCGATACTTGATCAGCTTCTGAGTTTCTAAAGTCTAAAAAAAATAAAAAATACTACTTCTTCTTCTTCCTCAAAAACTTCTTTTTTTACAGACTAAAAAACTTCTAAAGACGAGGGAAAAAATATTGATACATTAAAATATCACAATATCTTCATATGCTGATATATTGCCATTTAAAAACACCATATCAATCTCTTTTACTAATGAAATATTGCTATACATTGGGGCAAAAAAGTATTTAGTCAGCCACCAATAGTGCAAGTTCTCCCACTTAAAAAGATGAGAGAGGCCGGTAATTTTCATCATAGATATTCCTCAACTATGAGAGACAAAATGAGAAAAAAAAATCCAGAAAATCACATTGTCTGATTTTTAAAGAATTTATTTGCAAAATATGGTGGAAAATAAGTATTTGGTCAATAACAAAAGTTCATCTCAATACTTTGTTATATACGCTTTGTTGGCAATGACAGAGATCAAATGTTTTCTGTAAGTCTTCACAAGGTTTTCACACACTGTTGCTGGTATTTTGGCCCATTCCTCCATGCAGATCTCCTCTAGAGCAGTGATGTTCTGGGGATGTCGCTGGGCAACACGGACTTTCAACTCCCTCCAAAGATTTTCTATGGGGTTGAGATCTGGAGACTGGCTAGGCCACTCCAGGACCTTGAAATGCTTCTTACGAAGCCACTCCTTCGTTACCCGGGCGGTGTGTTTGGGATCATTGTCATGCTGAAAGACCCAGCCACGTTTCATCTTCAATGCCCTTGCTGATGGAAGGAGGTTTTCACTCAAAATTTGACGATACATGGCCCCATTCATTCTTTCCTTCACACGGATCAGTCGTCCTGGTCCCTTAGCAGAAAAACAGCCCCAAAGCATGATGTTTCCACCCCCATGCTTCGCTGCAGGTATGGTGTTCTTTGGATGCAACTCAGCATTCTCTCTCCTCCAAACACGACGAGTAGAGTTTTTACCAAAAAGTTCTATTTTGGTTTCATCTGACCATATGATATTCTCCCAGTCATCGTCTGGATCTTCCAAATGCTCTCTAGCAAACTTGAGACGGGCCTTGACATGTACTGGCTTAAGCAGGGGGACACGTCTGGCACTGCAGGATTTGAGTCCCTGGCGGCGTAGTGTGTTACTGATGGTAGCCTTTGTTACTTTGGTCCCAGCTCTCTGCAGGTCATTCACTAGGTCCCCCCGTGTGGTTCTGGGATTTTTACTCACCGTTCTTGTGATCATTTTGACCCCAGTGGGTGAGATCTTGCGTGGAGCCCCAGATCGAGGAAGATTATCAGTGGTCTTGTATGTTTTCCATTTTGTAATAATTGATCCCACAGTTGATTTCTTCACACCAAGCTGTTTACCTATTGCAGATTCAGACTTCCCAGCCTGGTGCAGGTCTATAATTTTGTTTCGGGTGTCCTTTGACAGCTCTCTAGTTTTAGCCATGGTGGAGTTTAGAGTGTGACTGTTTGAGGTTGTGGACAGGTGTCTTTTATACTGATAACGGGTTCAAACAGGTGCCATTAATGAAGGTAACGAGTGGAGGAGAGGGGAGCCTCTTACAGAAGAAGTTACAGGTCTGTGAGAGCCAGAAATCTTGCTTGTTTGTAACTGACCAAATACTTATTTTCCACCATATTTTGCAAATAAATTCTTTAAAAATCAGACAATATGATTTTCTGGATTTTTTTTTTTCTCATTTTGTCTCTCATAGTTGAGTATATAATGAAAATTACCGGCCTCTCTCATCTTTTTGAGTGGGAGAACTTGCACTATTGGTGGCTGACTAAATACTTTTTTGCCCCACTGTATGTCATCGTTATGCTACGAAATCCCCCGAAAATCCACGAAATTTTGCCATATTTTTATATATGGATATATTGACGCAGTATCGATCTATTTTACAAACAAAATCTCACAAGAATTTGCAAAATATCACGAGAGTTTGTAACAGAACGATGAAATTTCACGAGATTTTGAAAGTAAAATAGATCGATACCGCGTTTTTAAAAATCTATTTGATATCAGCATATGAAAATATATTTTAGTATATTATTTTTCAAAGTGTCAGAAATGGATAACAAAACTGCTATTTTCAATGACTACTCATTTTTGTCCAGCTTTAACATCGGTATCGATATCGGTTATCGGCTACATGAGTTTTAAAATATCGGCATATCGGATATCGGCCAAAATCCCAATATCGTGCATCCCTATTTGTATTGGTAGCTTGTTTCTTCAGGATTCTTAAAAAAAAAAATAAAACGGTCTGTCTGGTGCCAGTAACCATGATGTTTCATACTCAGCTCTTTGGCCTTTTCTGTTGTGGGAGATGGTTTTTGGACACTTAAAAAAACAAAATCAAGATTATTGAAATACCTGTGGGCCGCCAGTTAAAAAGGCACATCTGTACATTTATGCTAAATGATTCACTACTTTTATCAGCCAATAGTTACAGAAATGTCCATATTTTCACCTCAGTATGGTTCACCTTGTAGCTTTGTTTTTTGTTTTAAATCCTAGTTTATCTCACTGTTCTCAGATTAGAGCATTGCATGCAGTAAAAAAAAGAAAAAAAAAAAGAGTGTAATGTTGGTGGTACTGTATTGAAAGGTAATAATCTCCAATTTACCTCGTCTTTACCGATACCCCGTGTCAATGACATCTTTTCAAGGCTTTCTGAAAAAGTCTTTTTCTGATCACATTTTCTTCCTGTTGTGCTTCTAGCTACGGGATCAGTAGATAAGACGCTGATGATCTGGAATCTGGCTCCAAAGGGAAGAGCCTTTCGATTTGTCGGGCACCAGGATGCCATCACAGGGCTGCAGTTCTCTCAGTCTGGTGGTCTGGTGGCATCTTCCTCCAAAGATAGAACGGTTCGATTGTGGACGCCTTCCATGTGAGCACCTGTATAAATGCTGAACTCTTATATAGTATTCGTTTGTAATTGTCTTATATAGTCAAAAAACACTCAAGGTGGACCATAAAGCAGCTTTGATTTGAACTGTTTGTTCATGTTTTTGCCACAGAAAAGGAGAGTCTACAGTTTTCAAAGCTCATACCGCCGCAGTCCGCAGCGTTGCTTTCTCCAACGACGGCCACAGACTGGTCACTGCATCTGATGACAAGTCTGTCAAAGTTTGGAGTGTCCAGCGGCACTGTTTCATCTACTCCCTCAACCAGCACACTAACTGGGTCCGCTGTGCCAGGTACCCAGCTGCCCTCTATGCACTATGACATCCTTTTGTCTCTGACTGCACCTTGCAAAAGTATTTATATATTTTAACCTTTTTTTATGTTATAATCTTAAACTTTAATGTATTTGAATGATAAATTGATTCATCTCATGTAATGCGAAAAGGGGGGAAAACATGCATGATCCCGGGTCTTTATTAGAAAGGGGCGAGTACTCAGAATAAAGCAAAAAAGCGAAAAACATCTTTAAATATTAACAGAATTTATTCCAGTCAAGTATAATAAAACCATTTTTAGTAAACACACAATACAGAGAAATAATTTACTTCTGGCCCAAACCACCACAGTTAACAGAGGCTGCACACAGAGAGCTAAAACAGGAACTTGATCACCCCTGCATGAAGCTGGGTCATAAATATACAATGGGCGGTAACTTAAAACACAAGTTAACCTTTTAGATGATTTTAACCTTCAACAAACTACAGTCAAAATGTTTAGCTAACACAAAAACACATTTAAAGGAAAAAGGCAGCAAATGAGAAAAGACAAAAATAGAGCAGCAAAGAGGAAACACGCCCTGCAAACATAAAACCTGCTGCAAATGTATCCACATACCCCAAATATTTGTTAAAAACTGCCAAATCACACAAAAACCCGCCCAAATAAAGTATTGTTATATTTACTGTGTGAACATGAACACACTTCAGTACAAATTAAGTCAACACTACATGTTAAAACACTAAATTCCAACAAAACCTGCCTCTGGAGTTGTTCTCCATAAAGAACTCTGACCCAGCCATCGCAGTGATGTCAGATCCAGATCCATGTAGGCAACTCCCATTTTGACATTTAGAAGGCAAACTATGATCTGTGCCTACACACAAATATGCTAAGCTAATGTAAACGTTTTAATTAGTTTTATAGATCACAAATTAACATGTTAAACTTTCTCTTTCCTTTGTTTGTTCAGGTTTTCTCCAGATGGGAGGCTCATAGCGTCCTGTGGAGACGACCGCTCTGTCCGTCTTTGGGACACGTCCTCCAGACTCTGCATCAACTGCTTCACTGACTGCAGCGGGTAATTCTGTCACCTTCACATGCTTTTATAACTGTGAACAATTTTAGGCAACTGCACTGCTTTTGTTTCTCCTAAAGATTAAATACGGTTCTTTAAACCTCCCCAACTTGCAGCCATGATCGGTTTCCTTTATGCATCTCTTGGACTGGTGTCTTTTCTCATTTCCCCGTTAAAAAATAAGTCACTCTGCTGCGTCACATCCACGTTCACAGTCTGCGGCCAAACCGAGGCAGCGCAGCACTGCTTCCTGGTTCTGGAACTAAATTCTTTATCCCTCAAACATAAAAACAAATTCACAGTAGAATTTATTCAGTTGATTTAGTTTCTTTTAGTTTTAGCCTGTCGGCTAAGCATCCGTCAGTCAAATATGTCAGCCTGCTAATTTTGTAACCTCACACTAGCCAGTCCTCTTTGCAATATCCTCTCACTTTCTCTTCTTAAAGGGGAAATAAGCTTCTTTTTAGATAGTTTGAAGGATCAGAGGGAAACTTAAGCTAATTATCTCTCCTGGGCAGGGGATTATTCATTAGCTCTTATGGAGTAACTGATCTCTAGTACTGTAGCCAATGTCCGTCTCCTTTTCCAGGAAGGCATCTTTAGTTTCTGTGGGCGAAACGGGGAAGAAATGATGTCCCTTTAAACCAAAACTTCCTTTGATAGTTAAGCTTTTGGAGGTTGAATAACAGACTCTAGACAATAACAATCAAATCTCGCTTTACTTTCTTTTGTTAGTGTAATTTACCAAAACTCCAAACAATTTTCTGTTTCCAAAATAATTTTAGAAATGAAAAATTCCCTCAGAACCAGCCACCCACCGAAGTATTAAATAAGTAATTTTTAGAAAAGGAATATCCCCGCCTTTGTTTTGCAGCTGCAGGATTTGTAGCTGGTCTGAGTATGTCACCTCTGTTATGTCCACAGCATGTTTTCACCAACCTGCAGATTCATATAAGGTCTCTTAGAATTGCAGCAAGTTTCTTTTTCTATGCTTTTTTTTTCTCATCATCTAAAGTAAACCCCAGGTCTTTACTTTAAGATGTTCTGAGGTAAATCTTCTTAAAACCATTGAATGTTCAAATGTTTCTTCCAGCTCTGCAACTTTTGTTGATTTCAACTCCAGCGGCACCTGCATTGCCTCCTCAGGAGCTGACAGTTCCCTTAAGATCTGGGATTTACGGACCAACAAGCTGATTCAGCACTATCAAGGTACGGCGATAAGCCTCAATGATTCCCAGTGAAGCAAGTATTCCTGCATGGTTGGTGTTTTGCAGAGGTGTATATACAATAACTGCATAAACATCACATTAGCTTGTGGGTCTTTAAAAGCTATGTAACACTATTACTCCCACTACTGCTGATATGTGCTGATGTTTCATTTTTCTTTTCGTGAGGCTTATTCCTGAAACCCGTATATCTTTCTCTTTCTCCTTTTTTCATGATTCTAATATTACACAATGAACACAAAAGTTGCACAAATCTCACTTGAAGCAAAATTATTTTCCAACAAATCACATTAAACAGTAGAGATACATAGTTGTTTTATTTTGCTTCTCTCAAACAATCCAAAATCCAGTTAGTTATGATAAAATATATGTGTTCTGATAGTCTAAAGGAGGGGCATATTCATTTTTTCCCAATACATTTCTTCCATGTCACACTGACTGCATATAGAGAGGGTCTAATTAGACAGGGTGGGCAGATCTGCACAGATTTTATTAACTGTCTCAGTCCCACACACAAATTAAAACAATTTCCCAAATTTGACCTGGACAGATTATGGAAAGTAATAAAAAAAGGAAAAAGAAAATGGAAAAAAAACCACACCTGTCTATCTATAAAACAAAGCCCCACTTCATGAGTCGGTGCAGCATATCTTAAACCAGAACAGATAAAGACTCTTTATAGACCTAAATTAAAAACATAATGAGATCTACGTCTAAAGAAAAGAAAAACGGCAATAAACAACGTGGGACTGTTTATATGCTGACTGAGGCAGTGAGATGTGATTCTCAGAGAGAGATCTGTAAGGTGAGAGAGAGATGCCATGCTTACTTGCTCTGTCTGATGCTCAAAGAGGATCACTATTTCACTAATTCCATTTTCTGTCCTCTTGATTTTTTTTTTTTTTCCTTTTCGAGGAGCGTGATAAACTGCGTTTTCTGTCCCTCGTTGTTTTTGTGAGGCTCAAAGAGAATCTCTGCTTTATCCTTTTATCCTTTCATGGGTGAAGTATTCTTTGGTCAACTCTTCTGACTTGAAAAAGCATTATATAAGTACAGGCTATTTACCATTTAAAAAAATGTTTCATTGACTGTTTTTGCAAACACTCTTTCTCTTGCGATTAAAATATTTTATTTTGTATTTTCCCCCAAAGCAGATGTGTTTTACTTTAACCGTGTCTCTCTTCCTGTCAGACCCATATAATTGCAGTTGAATAGCTGCATAGTCAGACTAATAGACCTGGGGTCTATCTCAGTCTGACCTACGGAAGCCCCCTTCTGTAAAATCTTGTCCAGTGTGATCATCCTCATTGTCTTTCAATGAGCGCTAAACGCCATAAACTCGTCCGACACGATTTTCTGTTGGATCGGACGCAAAATCAGTTTCAGAGTGTCCTGGCCTTAACTATTACCCAGATACTTTGCAAAGGTCTGCGCGTTTTTGCCAGGAGTATAAAGTCTTGCCCTTTTTCTTTTTGCAGCTGCAATTAAGTCCATATGAATATTTGAAATCTTGTGCAGATTTTTAGAGCCTTAATCCTTTTGTTGGCTGGTTGAAATAAAGATCAGTCAGAGCTACCGTTTCAGATTAACTCTATTTTTACCTGTAATATCAGGGTTCCTGCGGGTCCTCAAAAAGTCTTAAAAGGCATTAAATTCTTCAAAAGAAAATTAAGGCCTTAATTGGTATTAAAATGTCTTAAATCAGTCTTTCGTAGGTCTTAATTTTTAAAACATCATAAATAGGATTATTTTTATTATGATTTATTTTTGTAATATAAATAAAACATTAAAATTGACCTTTTTTTTATAAAAAAAAAATCAAACATACTAAGAAAACGATACAAAGAAAAATAACTGCACTGGTTATGTTGTGGCTTTAAAACTGATTTGTTTTGTTCCCTGCTAAAAAAAGGTTTGTGAATTCGGTTAAATAATTGTTAAAATATATCTGTCATTTGTGTGTTTTTAGCTTTCTTCCTGTATGGGAAGCTTTTCAAAATTTGAAACATTAGTGCAGTGGTTTATCTTAAAATAAACCTTTGGGTTAAGTTGTCGCAAGCAGGTTTTTCTTGTGTTTCTTGTTAAATTGGTCTTAAATTTCTATTTCAAGTGGCATTAAAAAGTCTTAAAAAGTCTTGAATTTAACTTGCCTTATGCTGTAGGAACCCTGTATATGGTGCGTTGCGCCATGGTTTCTCAATTAACTCAGCTATTGACTGCAGCGTCTGCTATTTTAAGCGACAACACTGATTGGTTGAATCTGTCTGAGATTAGTGGCTTTAAGCAAAAATGAAGCATCTTTTTTATTATTTTTCTTGGTGCAGGAATACGGTACAAAATCAGTGTTACACGTTTCTTATTTTCAAAATCATAATATGACATATTTCACCACAATTAGATTCATTATCTCATCAGTATTCATCTTTCACACAGAAACGGGAATCGGAAATATAGTTGAAACCAACCACAGGAGGCCACATCAGGATTTTACTGTGCTATGCACTATGCATGAGAAAAAAGTTTTTCTAAAAGAAAAACAATACAGCTTTTGTCCACCTAGGGGAGCCAACATCAACCAAAACGGAAAGTTCTTTAGTACTGCTTTCAAAATATTATATATCTAATCTAATCTGATAAATGCAGTGGCTCGGGGGGAAACTCAGGTGGAATCAGAGAGAAAAGCACTCAACAGCTGTCAAAAACACAAAATCTGAGTTGAAAAAACAGCCGTGACCCCATACCCGAATTTTAGCAAAGACGTTTTTTGCAGTATGTATTTGGCATTTAAAAGGAAAATGTGACACATCCTCATAACCTTTCCCTGCCACAGAAGAATGAACTACATCAGGGAGAGATACTGCAATATGGGACCAAACATAATTTAGCTTTCACATCACTAAAAAAACTTTGAAGCTAGTGGACCACTTTAAACATTTTTTTTAGACAGGTTCCCTGATAATATTGGTAAGGTATAATTCTGGGAATAATTTAATGTTGAAATAAAAGAATGAAAAATCATGACTCCTGTCTAATAAAGTTTTTCACATTAGATTATTTTCATGAAGCACTTGGGATTCATTCCCCAGTATCCATTTTAAAGACAAAAAACTTAGAGGTTAAAAACACTGTTCTATAGAGGGACTGAATGGCAGGATAAAAATCTAATATAGATCTATTAACTGTGAGCTCTGCACATGTCACCACATTGGCTTCCACTGCTCATTTTTAGGTAAATTGTTCATTTAAATATTATGGAGTTTTCACACAAGAAGTGGTAAGGGATTATGTGTTCTAATAAATCCACTATCTTTTGCTGTATCAATGAATCTATAATCAATCTCATGGTTTCTTGAAGAGAACTGCAGACTTGCATTAACTTTGATTTCTTACACCTGGCTTCATGTACCTGCACAGATGTACCTGGAGCGGATGAAGCCAGGATGCACCGATCACTCTAGGATTAGTCTGGCTTTATCCATTATCCTGGGATTTCTGAATTCATCTTTGGTGAAGTAGGGCCCTGGCTGCCATTTTGGTGAGGGCTAAACTCCAGTGGATCATGGAAAGTTAGACCAAAAACAAAAGAGAGAATATTTAATTGTTTTTAAACAAAAACAAGAATTAAGTGGATACAATAAAAAATGAACCAAATTAAAAACTCAAAAAATAGAAAAAAAATGTATTTAACCTAATTAATAAACTTATTGCAAATCAAGATGTTTGTGTGTGACTAGATAAATAAGTATATACAAGGCATAAGAAATACCCACTTTCAGATTTCATGGTTTTAGCTATCATAAATGGGTCAGATTCCATGATTATTAAAATAAAAGTTAATGGCAGCAAAGCAACACATTTAAATGAAATGTACCATAAATATCCAGCTTCCTTAGAGATAAATATCTATCTGTATTTCAACCTTTATGAGATGCATTCCACATCTTATTTTTTCAGCAGACTATCTCATAAAATTGGTTTTAGTACAACATAGATTAGTATGATGTTCATGGACTCTTTATAAGAACATTTGTCTTCAATATTTTACATCTGCACAGTATTTTTCCCTACAGTGATGCTATTTATGGTGTTTTTCGCATATATGTATTTTTCTGTTAATGTGTTTTACTCTAAGCATTTTTTTCAATCTGTTTTACTCAATTTTCAGTCCACACTGCAACTATCAACAGTTTCTCCTTCCATCCGTCGAGTAATTACTTAATCAGTGGCTCCAGTGATAGGACGGTTAAGATCCTGGACCTGCTGGAGGGCCGCCTCATCTACACGCTGCATGGACACAAGGTAGTCCGTCCTTCCTTCCTTCCTTCCTTCCTTCCTTCCTTCCTTCCTTCCTTCCTTCCTTCCTTCCTTCCTTCCTTCCTTCCTTCCTTCCTTCCTTCCTTCCTTCCTTCCTTCCTTCCTTCCTTCCTTCCTTTGATTGAAACTCAGGAATTGTGATGCATTATCGCTTTCTTTCTGTGTAGTTTAACAGTGGAGTTCAGCACTGGACTTCTGTGTGACAATGTCCAGGACTGAAGTTTCATATATTTAACCTTACTTGCAGTTGTTTCCATACTTTTTTTTTTTTTTTTTTTTTTTTTACTTTTATACATTTTAAATAAAAAATACATATATGTTTTAAATTGCTTATCGCAAATTTGTTTATCAATTGGGTGTTGTACTTTGATGAGGCCATTTAAAAAGATGAAGTAACTTGCTGTATGTTTAAGGTCTTTGACCTAAATGGAAGGTGAAGTTCAGGTCATTTGGTGCCTCTAACATTTTCTTCCTGAATGACTGTCCTGTATTTAGCTTCTTTTTTATGATGAAGAGAAGCAAGCCCACAGACTCATACTGTCACCACTGTACTCCAATGCATAATTAAATCAGGAGAAAAAGCAACAAATGTTAGTCTGGAGCTGTAAAAAAGCCCTTCATATGGTCAACTGTGGTTACACTCCCTGTGGATTCTGCTGCAGGTGCTGCTGAGGAAGACAAACTGTATTTATTAACCTTCTTAGTGTGCTTTTTTACTCCTAAATGCTGAGCTTTTTGGGTAGTTTTCCTGTACTCTCAGTCTTATGAATAAAAGCTATTAACTGTCTCAAGTCTTAATTGTCACTCCTACTCCTCCAAATATTTAAGAAATCTGTAGAGATGTCTGAAGTGGGTGGGAGTTGCCACTAGAGGAAGGTATTGAGGCAAGAGAGATGTACATGGATTGATAGAATGCTCTAACAGGAAATGGAACAGGAACTGCATTTCCATTACAGTTTCTGAAAAAAAAAAACCCACCTGAAAACAATAGTTAGGATAAAAATAACTGCTGGCCATGTGTTATTTAAACACAGTCGCAAAATTAACTCATGGTCGTGCATTAACAGATTGTGGATTTATGATAATGAAGTCATGGCCATGTGTTAAAAATGCATGGAAAAGAAATAAATAACTTGTGGCCAGTCAGCACTAATGCATGAAATTATAGAATGGTTGTGTTTGTCCAAAATGAACTCCTCTAAGTCCTCTTATGGATTTTTATTTTACAATAGTCCTGCATGGGACTGCTAAATCGTCTCCAATCGCTCCAATTCCAAAGTTAACGCTCATAAATGAGCCTCATTATTAAAAAGGATAAACATGTCAGTTCCCCCTGCAGTGTTCTTGGCAATGCACATCAACAGCTCTAGAAAAACCTCATAAGAGAATTGGAACTTTTAAGCCACATTGTGGTTTTCAATATGTTTAGCAGATTTGATTGTATTTGGTAAAGTCAATGGATTTAGAAGAGACATCATCCAAAATTCATATTACAGGACCAGTTTCTGTCATAATCCGCTCTGAGAGTCACACTTAAGAATTTGAAAAAGAGTTTGATAAATACAGCCTCTGAACTTTTACAGCTGGATGCTGATCATCAACCAATAAGAGAGGCTGATCCAGGAACGGTCTGAGAGACAGACCCTAAGTATTAGAAATGATTTCTGCTGCAGAGCTGTCAGTATAAAACAATGAAAAATAAATATATATATATATATATATATGAAGGGGTTAAACTGCACTGGTTTTACCTTAAATGCCAGTAGGATATATATTTATGTACAAGGGGAAGATGGTGCTCTGATCATTATTACTCCACAATTTTTTTTTTTTTATAATAATAGCCAAATTTAGATTCTGGTTCTTTCAGTTTTTACCAGAAATCTAAAAAAACACTTTATATTCACTTTCAGCCGCTGCAAAAGTGCGATCCACTTCTAACAACAACAGAACATTTAATATCATAATCCTGATGAACTGACTCAACAGATGCCGCACTGAAGTGGACTTTCTTTTTTCTTAAATAGTGGAAAAAATGCTTTTTTTTTTCTTTACAACTTATCAAAGCATATAAAGCCAAGCCATGGAAGGAGTGCCTTGCATCTGCAGTGTCTGATGCCTATTTGATCCTCTAAATGTGTTTGGTGAGAATGCTAAAATTGGGCATTGTTTGAATTTAAATGGCTCCGTTTTTTCATTTCACTTCAAAGAATCATAAAAGATTCCATGTTGCAAATTAGCTGTTCAACAAGAGTTCTGTCTAATTGAAATGGTCAAAACTTCGAAATGAAACTTAGTTCCTTGAACATCTAACTTTGTGTGAACAAGGTGATAAATTATCACAAGAGTTTTTATACTTTTCTTGTTTGAGTCAATTATTATTCTATTTATCTGTCAGCGGCTGGCTAACTGAAGTGTTAATCAAGTTTCAAATAATTAATTGTCTTGATTTTCAGGGTGCTGTAATAACGGCTGCGTTTTCAAGGGTTGGAGATCTGTTTGCATCAGGTGGAGCTGATTGCCAGGTGCATTATGACTTTCTTTCTGTATAGTTTAACAGTGGAGTTCAGCACTGGACTTCTGTATGACGCAGTCCAGGACTGAAGTTTTATATTTTTAACCTTACTTGCAGTTGTTTCCATACTTTTCTTTTTTTTTTCTTTTTTTTTTAAACTTTTATACATTTGAAAAAAAAAAAAAAATACATATATGTTTTAAATTTGCTTCCTGTGGATTCTGCTGCAGGTGCTGCTCTGGAAGACAAACTTTGACAGTAAACCTTATCAGGACCTGCTGCAACATCATAGCCGGAGATCAACCCCTAATCCGCCACCCCACCTGTCGGACATCCACCCCAGAACACCTCACCTCCACCACCCACAGCCCACCCCCATCCAGGTCTCTACTACTTCAACCCCCGCATTAAAATAATAATTAATAGTTAATAATTCTGATGTTTAAACAAAAACTACATCTGTGACTTTTTTCTTTCTTTCTTTTATCTTGTAATTAATGTAATAATTTACTTGGTTTCAGTTTTAAGATTTTTTGCAGTTTAAATCTCCTGTAATTGTAGCAAGTTTCTTTTCGTAGTCATATTATTATAATATTTTTTTCCTTTTCGTTCCAGATAAATCCCACTGTGACCGACACCAGGTCCTCTGATCCACATGTTGTCGAGCTGGGCCAAGCTCTACATGAAGACAAGGTAAGGTGACTACAGAAAATAAAAACAATGGGGAAAACTCTTAGTTTGTAACCATAGGGGAATGAAAATGAAGCAAAGAATGTCAAACATAAGTGTTTACCAAGACAGCCACTAGGTGGCAGTGCATACCAGTGTTGAGTGATGCTGTTACAGCAGTTCATTCACCCTCTGAGATGCTCTGCCACACTAAGATGCATGTCTATTCACTATTTTAGTCATTATCATATTTTGCATCTCAGGATTGATTGAAAAATGCATTTTACAATTTAAGTTTTGTAACCTAAATTTAAAGGAGGCATTATTTTCAGGTTTCCAGTCTATAGCAATTTCCTTCTTTTCATTCATATAAGGGTTGAAATGAAAAAATCCAAATTTTTTCTCCATAGTGACAGCTAATCGGATGGGGGCAGGTCACTGGCCCCAACTTTGAATTTCAGAGCCATTTTCTCACGGTTTTGTGAGGTATAAACTGCTGGATGTGACTCAGTCTTATCCGCTTACTCTACGAATGTTGATCCGGGATAATGGCTGGAAACAAGGAGGATATGGTTCAGTCATAATGTACAGCTTTAATGAGCATTATTATAACACTGTAGTTTCCTAGAGCTAAAGGATGGAGAGTTTAGTGGAATTTGTTAGTAAGAAGTTTTATCCACTCTGGGGTTAAAGTTTACTTAAGGCTAGAAGATTAATAATTGCAGATTTATCTCTCTTTTCTTTTTCATTCTGATCATCGCATCCAGTTTTAGTTTTTTATTAAATTGTCAGGATGTAAGTAGTAAGTTTTCTCTTGTATCAAGAGTGTCTTTCCATAACATTGAAGCTCTAAATTCTTTTCCGTAAGCTAAATTTGAAAAGAATAGACATTGACCCTTGCTTTATAAATGCAGCTGTGCTAAATAATGACTGAATAAACACAAATGTTGTTTTTTTGACCTAATCGATTATATATTGAGCAAAAAAGGAGCGTGTTTAGTTACTGAGTAAAAGAATAAATAGAATAGCTCATGTGACACATGTAATCCCCTTGTGAACAGAGATGTCAAACCATCACTGAAAGACACAGGATGTCAGACTTTATATGCCATTAGGTCTCAATGAGGTGGAAGATAGGGCATCCTGTAGTTTGGCAGAAATCCTTGTCAGTAGACTCAAAATACAGGCAGATCTGTGACAGACCTTCTGGCAAATATTGACAAAACCATGGAGGTTTTACTCCATCTTATAGTTCTGCTTCTAGCCGTGTGAAATGTTTTTTTCAGAGCTTGTTTCGGTCATATTCATTTGACTCATATGTGATGTTTATGGATGGCAATAGAAAATGATATTTTGGTTGCTCTACTCTTTTTTGATCATGTAAACAAACTTTAACATGTTCTGCTAACGCCTGTCGCAATGCTAGCGAGAGCGGCTAACCTCCTTCATTTAAGCTCTCTAGGTGGCCATTGCTCTTGGAAATGTTGCCCACTGTTTTCAGAACTTGCTCATCTCTATGGCTCTGGTAACTTATGGAGCTCATTGAGTGTTACAGTTACAAACAGAACAGCCTAGAGGGAATCTGCATCCTCGCCCCCATTAAGCAGCTTAAAATAATCCTGCAGAGGATTCTCCACTATGATTATTTCTCTTAGAATAGCAGTATTATCATTATCTGATGCTGCTTAAAGATTAACTTGACCTGAACGATTTCCCCAAAATTTCAAATATATTATTTATTCTTTATTTTTTTTTCATTTTTAACAGAAATGCTAATCCACACTTTTATAGTTGTTTTACTCCAGGGTTTCATTCTCTCCATGACCTTAAAAGCTTGGTTATTGAGTTCAATTTCACATGATTTAACCATTACTTGTGCGTGGGAAAGTGCTTGCTTCTACTTTAATGCATAGATCTGCACATGGGCTGCAAGCTCAGAGCACATCTTAAAAATGGAAATGTAAAAAAATAAGAATAATAGAGGCAATCCAGAAATTCTGTGAAAATGTTTTGAGTAAACAAAATTTGAAGAAATTCCATCCATCCATCCATCCATCCATCCATCCATCCATCCATCCATCCATCCATCCATCCATCCATCCATCCATCCATCCATCCATCCATCCATCCATCCATCCATCCATCCATCCATCCGTAGTCCTTCATGCTTAAAAAATAAAAATTAAAAATTAACAAAGTTACTTTTAAAAAACACTTTCAAAGTGTCATTTCTGGATTAGATTTTTTTCAAATGAAAAAAAAAATGTTTTTTATTTTTTATTACCATTTGCTAAACATGTTCTTTACATGCAGCAAATATGGAACATGACATGACAAAAATGTGGTGCCTCTGTAATTTGAAGATGAACAGGATTTTGTATAATTGTGACTCTATTGTAATTGCTATTAATTGCCCAGCCTTGGGATGAACTATGCTGCATCGATACAACACTGATACAAGGTCAGTCTAAGGATTTGGTATCGGTCTATTATTTTTTAGTAACTCCAGTTAGCTTTAGAGTTGGGTTATGAGTCTGACTAATTGGAATTATTGTTAGCATTGGCCAATTTTCTTCTCTTTTTTTTCAAATTTGGTATCAGTTCCATTAAAACTGAGCCAATATTGTCTGTTTTTACCTCCACCATATAGTTAGAACGGATGGATTAGATTAAACTGATAATCCCTTGCTTTAAATAAAAGGAAATGCAACATTTTGTCAGCATAGCAGTGCTCCGAGAGTCTCTCTGTTTTCATGGGCTCGAATGGTTCTCTTCTTATCCAGGTTTTAGAACAAATCCTGACATTTACAGTGATGTTGGTTTGTTCACTCAGGAGTAGTGTGTTGCTCTGTATCTAATTGTAACTTGTTTCCTGCAATTACATCCTGTGGGGGAGTAAAGTGGTGAATGCACCGAGCCAAGTGGAAGTCATTTATGACGAGGACGACCAAGTCGGATATGTGGTTTTACTTCAAGCCTCCATTAAGGACGCAGCCGTAAATCAGCTGCTCGGGATTTGGACAGCTGTGAGGTTAAAAAGAACTCAGTGCTGTGTATGAAGAAGAGAAAGAAGTTAAACGCTTTAAAGGAGCTTGTTTGTTACAGACTGCTTAAAGGAGCCCTCTTTTGTATGACGACTTAACGAGTTTCTATGCTTGTAGCTCAGTCTGGTTGCATACATTGCAAAAGAGAGTTTAAAAACAAGTAAAAAACACAACATCTGACGGACAAGGTACTAAAAACAGGTGAAATTATGTGTCCTAGCAGTTATATAATTTCACTTGAATTTGCACTTAGAAAAAGACAGTAACTATTAAAAGAAGATAAATGATCTAATACCTCTGTGTAAATCTTTCCCTCTTGGTAAGAGCCAAACAATTTGCAGTGACTCAAGGCTTTCAAGACTCAAGATTAAAATTAGAAGGTGTATTATATTTCTTTATTTTGTTTTACTTTTTGTTGTTGTTCCCTTAATATTTGCCATAACAGGATCATGTGGCCAGAGGTAAAATATTGCTCAAGATGAATTATGAGAAAAGTCTAAAAACAATCAGGTTTTTAAGAGGGTTACGGCATGGTCGCTCAGAATACAATATAAGCATTGGATTTAATAAACCTCAGAATCTGACTGATATAATGCATGAAAAAGTACTGCCAGCTATGGCAGTGATTGAAAATTGAATTTTCTTTTTTTTTTTGCTGATCACACCCGGTGGAAAACTTCTTTTCAGGCTCAGTAAGGACTAAAGAAACACTATAAATACAAATGCTTGGCTTATATTGCTTTATTTTAACATCAAAATATGGTTGTTGGTATATATGTGATCTGACCCCTTTAAATTGATCCATGTTTGGTTCTAACAATAGATTTTATTTGAGAAGTGTTTATTTTTTATGGTAATACAATAAAATACAGTAAAACCACTGTAAGCTGTTTAGTTTTGATACATTTGAATAAAATATTGTCATATAGATGTCACCTTGAACACCAGGGTTTCCTAACCCAGATAGAGAGCAATGCTACAAAGAGCTCCAGTTTCTAACTGAGGGTGTTTATGATTAGCATTAGGATCAAAACATTTTCTCTGATATATTAGAACAATTTGTTATAACTGAAAGTTTATTTTAAACTATTGTTCATAATCTTCCAATTTGATTTTAATTTCAGGTTAGCTTCTGCTAACCGTATTAGCTCTAATTCAGTAATCAAAAGATCACAAGCACGTCACATTTGTTCCAACTAGGGTTGCCAACGGTCCCTTGAAAAATTTAATCATTCCGTATTTAGAAATGGAAGTATCTGTCCCGTATTTAGTGGAATAGGAACGCACTTTGTCCCGTTTTACTGTGAGAGTAAAAAGTAAAAAGCTAAAGGAAAATGAACAACAAGAGCACGTTGGATACAAAACTTACGGTAAACTTGTTACCGGGCCCTATCCTACGTTGTGACCAATGAGCTAACAACATATATGTAACGATCCAGATTACCCTCATCCCATTGGTCGAGCCGAGTGTTGCTCACTGAGAAGATAGCCAGAGAGAACAGCGCAGTATGGGGGACGAACGGAGTAATTTAAATGCTGATGCGGCAGGAAAAGGAATCCTGGCAGGCCAAAGGAACAGCAGAGAGGTGGATGGAGGTTCATCAGATAGCTGATCCTCCCAACATCCAAGCTGCTGTGTCCTTTGTCCTTGGCATCCCATCTTCCACTGGTTTTGTGGAGAAGATTTTCTCCTTAATGAAGAACAAACTGATTTGAGGAACAAATGTTTCACTGAATTAATTAAAGTTGAACTCATTGTCAGCCTCAATTATGAATTGTCTTGCTCAGAGTTTTACTCTGCAGCACTCAAAAACAAAAAACTCCTCACTGCTGCAAGAGCTCAGAGGCTATCGCCACATAATGTGGCATTGAGCTAATGATTCTTTTTCTGTTTTACAACTGCTGCCTACAGTCATTGCATTTAAGGCACAAATATGTTTACAAGTTTGCACAAGTTTGCTGTTGCACCAAAAATGTGCA